GCTGGGCTCGCCCTCTCCGACGGAACCGTCACCCACACCCCGAAGATCATGTTAGTTGGTTTGGCTCGGCATTGGGCGGGGGGGTCTTTCCTGAGAAGCCTATAGATACGCCTGCGGCGCGCACATGCGTCCAGAAGTTTACGGGCGGTATCGACCTCTCCTACATCAAGCCTCCTACTCAATGTGATATTGCCAAACACCTTCGTCATTGCCCCCCGAGTGCCCCAGGCCCCGACGGGCTCCCGTATAAGGCTCGGCAGTGCCGCCCCGAGGGCCCCAAGATACTCGCCGAGGTCATGCACTGGATGCTAGAGGGGAATCCGATGGGCCTCAAGTTCAATGGTGTTCGAGGTGCATGTCTAGCTAAGGGAGGCCAGCCTGGCGACGCCGTTGGCCCTGTGCGCGAGCCTGCTGCAACACGCCCGCTCGGTCTCAAGAATGCTGACTGCAAGGTGGTCACAGCTGTGTGCGCGAGAGAACTGACGACGGCATTGCCGACGCGCATCGATCCGATGCAGCGTGGATTCATGCCATCTCGGGACCTCGGTGCAAACATATTCGAGCTAGATGCGCATGCAAGGATGACTGGACTCGAACCTGCCGCCAGTGAGCGCCTCCCTCTCCTCCTCCCCTTCGACTTCAGCCTTGCTTTCCCCTCCGTTTCGCGCGAATGGATTTTCCTTGTCCTCTCCGCCTGTTGCCTCCCCCCCCCCTCCTTCTGTTCTACCCGCTCATTTACTCTTTCGTTTGCTGCTTTGGGCAGGCTGGCCCATCCCTCCTTCCCGTCTTTCTCCTTGGGTCTGGCATCGCCCAGGGCTGCCCCGCCTCGGGGTCGCCGCGCGCCTTTGCATCCGAGCCTTCCAACGCTCACTTCAGAACGATTATTCTGAGGAGGTGTCGCGGCATCATTCGTTGCTGCGCCGACGACGCAGGAGGGGTCATTCACCGTATCGAATGGCGCAAGAAGCTTTGCACTGCTTTTTTTTCTTCTGCTGCCGAGCGAGTTGCCAGATTACGTGTCAAAATTGCGAAGTGCTTTGCGGTGCCACTTTGTGGAGAATTCTCTCCCGAGCTGAAGGCGCGGGTCGAGAAGTGGCTCGAAGGAGAACTGCCGGCTTGGGCGAAGTTCTCAATCGTCTCGCGCCCCATCTCGGCATGAAAATTTGCCCAGATGCAGCGCGCCAGATGTGGGCTGACCCGCTCGAAAAGTACACCACGCGAGCTGCAGCCGCAGCTCGAGCCAGGCCACCACCTGTCGTGCCAGCGAAGCTCTACAATCAAAGATCCGTCTCGACACTCGGTTACGTCACCCAGTTTGCCCTTCTCCCCCCGCGCATCCCCTCCAAAGAGCACGCTGTCCTTGCCGGCCAATTTGCGATCGCACACTGCGATCTCTCCCGCGCCGGCTTCTTCGACCTCCAGGATTGGGGGTGCCCGAAGTCTCAGAGCTTGGTAGTGATGAATCTCGCCGCTCTTATCAGATGCGCAGTGCGCATTTTCGAGAGCTGGCCGCATATCCACAACGAGCTGAAGGCTTGTGCGGAGAGGAACCTTCCCGCGCTGAGAATTCTGGCCGGTGATTTCTCCCTTGTTTTCTGCCCCCCCCCCCCCCCCCCCCCCTTCCCCTTCTCGTTAAGGCCCTAGCCGACGCCGCGGGGGGATTCAGGAACCATCCGGAGTGGAGCGCCGCCGCCTCCAATGCTGTCATGATCGCACGGCAAGCTCGTGCGGGCCCGAAGTTGCAGTATAAGGTGCAGCGTCTTGTCGCTGCTAGTCTCCTCTCTTCGCTTTGCCCCTCTGCTCTTCACCTCGCCTTCACGCGTCGCCTTCTATCTTATTTCCCCGCCTCCTTCCCCGCCACTGCCAGAATGAATTGGGGGGAAGTGCGTATGCGCGTGAAGTCCCTCCCGTCCGCATGGGCGGTCGCAGTCGTCGAGACTCTGTGCGGAGGCTGGCCCACGCGCACGCGTTTCCACGACAAAGAGGGCGAACTGCTCTGCTGTCTGAGGTGCCCGAAACCCGATGTCATCCCCCACTATCTCATTTGCCCAAAATTTTTGTCCCTCGTGAGTTCCATCACCAAGCGTTTATTGCCTGAGTGCCCGATTGCACGCCTCGGCCTCCTCTTCCCGCCCCCTGCCTCGTTCGCCGTTTCTGTCGTGTCGTACTCCCTTTACCTCCGCCTTTCCAACTTCCCGCAGGCGAGGTCTGTGCTCGGAATTCCGCCGCAGGATAGCGGGTCCATCAAAGATGCTGTGCACGACCAGGTGCACAGGCAGACGAAGTAGCGAGGACAGACCCCCGGAGCGCCCCAGCGACGCGCCAGGAGGGTTGGAGGAGTAGTAGTAAGAAGAGGAGCAGCAGGATGCGCATGTTTTCGTTCTCGCGCGTGCGCGTGCTCGCTCTCGCTGTCCGCAGCGGGGTTGATGGGATCCGTATCTGTGCACTGGGGCCCCGTTTTTTTTTTTTTTTTTTTTTTTTTTTTTTTTTTTTTTTTTTTTTTTTTTTTTTTTTTTTTTTTTTTTTTTTTTTTTTTTTTTTTTTTTTTTTTTTCTTTTTTCTTTTCCCCCCCCCGGGGCCGGCTGCTGATGGACGGGCTGCGCTGGCGACCGATCGAAACATCAGAGTCTGAGTCGACGGAGGGGATCCGATGCAAGCATTTATTTGTAACTGCCGCGTTGGACACCGATGCCATGGGACCCCAGGTGGCTGCGGATATGCATATATTCAGGCTCCCTGTGCAGGCAGGAGGTCCCGAAGCGGATTGGCGCGTTGGGTTGCGCAGGCGGTTCGCGACGTTGGCCAGGCCATGAGGTCGAGGTTAACGCCAGCAGCTCTTCCGTGCCACAAGGCTTCCTTCGCGTGGCGCTGGTAAATGACCGATCACACGTGTGCGTGGGTGCATTCCCTGTTCCGATGTTCTCGCCTCTTCTGGTGTTGCTCTTTCTCGGGGTCCCCCCTTGCTTTGGTGACCCCGTGGGCCGTTGATGTGATCCGCCATGATTCCTTGCTGCCCGCGCATCATCTTCGGGCCCCCTTGCTTGGATTAGCTCAGTAGTAGCTTGCAGGATTGCCCCGAATGAGACCCCAGACAGGCGTTCAGGTTGTTCGATGAGCTGGCGCGCGCTTCACGCATTGGGCGGAGTGCTCGAGGCGGTGCTCATTTGTGTCTGGGGCCGTGTCTTTAAATTGGTTATGTTAGCTCGTGCATCGCAGGAGCATGGCTCGGGTTGTCCGTCTGTCTCGTATGCGCATCCGCCGCAGAAACGCACAGACACCCTCCAGCGGATTGCTCCTGAGCCTCATGGGGAGGATGGCTGTGCATAGATCGCCATTAAAACCCAATTGTTCAATTCACCGCCGCAATCTCTTGAAGGCGCACGGAAGATTCGTCGGCGAGTGCTTGAATACACGTATACATATACACATATATGCATATGCATAACATACCCATACAAACATACACCGATAGGTAATGTGCAGACACTTGCGTGGCGTAGATGGTCCTATGCTCGTCGGCTATTTCGCGATATCGAGAGCGTGAGCCACCACGTAACGCCATGCCTCCTGCCATCTGCACTGGCCACTTGGCACGTTGCCCGCGCCAGTATGTGTTCCAACGCAAGCCTCATATGTGTTTTCTCCGTGTTCTTTGGCCCTGACGTGGCTCGACCTGAACGGTGTGTTGGCGATTTCGTGGGCCGCTTCCGGTTTGAATTCGTTTAGCAACAACGGCGGAACGAAGACAACACGTGGGAACATAACGCAACACACACAAGGAACACTGTTTAGGTCGAGCCTTTGGCCCTGGCGTGTGAGTGGGACAGAGGGGCAAAACCATAGCGAGGGGCGGCTACCGACGCTCAGAGCCTGGCCCACAATCTACATGTTCCTACTAGTGCGTCTCCTTGCCCATTCCTTCCCTCCACCCCGTACGACCCCCATTTCGAAGTTCTCCCTCCCGCCTCCTCCCACCCCTCCACTGCCAGCTCCCTTGCTCCCGCCTCCCTGACTATGGGACCCTGGTCTACGCCACGTGTGGGAAACTCGTATCGCACAGGCGGAGCGCCCTGCGTAGGACCGTCCCCTGGGACGACGTAGAGGCAGTTTTCAGTTTCTAGGCTCCGCCGACATCCCCTCATCGACCCCCGTCGCGAGAAAGAACTGCCGGCCAAAATGGACCCCCCCCGCGGTGCACCCACGGGGCGAGTTTGACTCCCTGGCCCACGCGCGCGGACAAGTTGCCGTTGACCTCCGTCGGGTGGGGGTCCCCCTACGTTTCTGCAGAAACTCAAGTTCGGTTCCATCCTCCCCCCTCCACCTCTCCTGCTTCCTCACCCATCCAGCTCCGACTCCTGCTGCTCCGTCCCTCCACCCTCACATCATGTCCCGAGCCCACCAGAGCGAGACGTTTGCCAGTTCCCGCTCCCCTCCCCGCCTTCCACCCCCACGTCTGCTCCGCCCACAGCCCACCTCCTCCCTCCCTCTCTTCAACCTCTCCTTGTTGGGCCGATTTCCCACCACCACTACTAGGAGAGGTGGGAGGAGGAAGAGGAGGAGGAGGAGGAGGAGGAGGAGGAGGAGGAGAGGAGGAGGACCTCCCCATCCTTCCTTCTCCCCCGTCCTACATATGGTAGTGGTGGTGGAAATTGGCCCATCACCCCTCCCCCTGCGTTCCCCTCCGCTCCACCTCGTTCCCCTCCCCGTTCCATCCCGCCCGCTCCCCCCGCCCATTCCCCTCCACCACTCTCAGCACACCGCCTGCCTCTCCCCCCTTCCTTCCCTGCTCGTGTCGGGCTCTGTGACAGCGGTACAGTGTGATATCGCGATGTACTTGTTGCGTCCTCCGTCCCTGCGTTTTGCCTTGGTCCGGTGCGCTCGCCCGCATGCAGTGAGTCAGATGAGCACAGCTTCATGCTTATGCCACCGTTCGACGACGACAACGCCCCTCCCCCTGGTTCAATCCACCACCCCTCCCCTCCCAGCCTCCCCTCCCTTCCTTTTGCTGGACCTTCCGCGAGCTTTTCGCTCTCCTCCCCCCCGGCGCGGTGGCCGGGGCCCTGGCGGCGCGCGCCATGATGCGTTCCGCATACGGCGGCGCCTCTTGTGGGGAGGGGGAGGTTGGACCATTGTCCATTTCTCTCTCTCTCTCTCTCTCTTTCCCTTTCTTTCTCTCTCCCTCGCTGCCTGTCTGTCTATCTGTTTATCTGTCCGTCTATATGTCTATATGTCTGTCTGTCTGTGTGTCTGTCTCGTTCCCTCTCCCTTTTTGTCTCTCTCTTTATGCGTGTACACGTCGACGTGTGTATCTGTATTTCTCTCTCTCTCTCTCTCTCTCCTTCTCCATTTCTTGTTTTGTTCCTCCCTCTCTCTCTCAACGTTACTTACCCCAGGTAGGGGTCCTTTCCAGGAGAGGAGGATCATAGGAGGTTCTCGGATGTTCTGCTTTGCTTCTCTGTGTCGTGGGTTATCTACGTTGTTGCTTTTGTTTTGATTGCTGGAGGGAGAGTCGGGAGGGAGGAGGGAGAAAGGATGAGATCGATTAAGCGTATCGATGAGGCTTTCGCATGATCTGGAAAATTCTTCGAGAGATCTGTCAGGGCTGTGGTGGGCGGGGGTTTCTCCGATGCCACCAAGGCGGTCGGCCCTTGCCTTCGCCCTCGGGTCAGCTGCAGCTGGACCGCTGATTCCTTGCTTCCGCGGTTCTTCTCTTTTTCTCTTCCTGCCCCTACCTTTTCCACCCTCCGGAGCTCTTTCTGGCCTTCACAGCTGGATTCTGGCGCCTCCGGGGCTCAGGAACATAGGGAGGAAGGAGCGGGGTGATGGAGGAGAAGGGGGAGGAGGAGGAGGAGGTTGAGGAGGTTGATGACGAGGAGGAATAGGAGTAGGAGATGGGAGTAGGAGTGATTGATGAGGGAAGAGGAGGGGGATGATGGGAGAGAGTGAGGAAGGGAAGGGAGACCCTGTCAAAGATCACAACCGGTCGAGAAGGATATCCTCGCAATGGTGCCCTCATCCTTCTCCCGTCTCTTCTCTTCCTCTCTTCCTCTCCTCCCTCCTCCCACTTTCACCCGTTCACCTCCCCCTTGCCTCCAGAGGCCCGATTGGGAATTTGCAAGAAGCTCAGTCGGTGATCTGGTTATTCAGTAGTTCATTCCCCATCTGCCGACAGCCCATAGAACGTAGGATGTCCCAATGTGGGCACACCCTGTGAGCCTCCGCCTAAGACATCGGACTCCATGATGCCCCCAGCGGTTGAACACGCGCGCACCCACCAGCATTGACACGCGCACTCCAGATCAGCGTTTCCCCTCCCCGTTCGGGACGCGCGTAACGTGGGTCAGCGCTAACAGGGATCAGCCAATCCCCTTTGGCTGGCCCAGGTTGGGGAACCACGGGGCCGATTCCCTCTTTCCGCCCTCCGCTGACCCGGGTTTAGGGAGCTACTGCGCGACCGGCTGAGCTTCGCGACAGGGACCTGGCCGACCATGGGTTGGGCTGACCTGGGTCAGTGTGTCCCCGACCCGTCTTCGTCCTCGGTTCCGCACGATCACCCAGACACACGCTTTGCAGATCGACGTGACCTCGTCTTCCCCGTCCTCCGACGAGGGGCGGAGGTCAGTGCTGCAACCCTGGGGGCCAGTGGCGCGGCACAGGCCCTGGCCACCACGAAGGCCGCCCGCGGCACGGGCGGCTCGGGACAGGAAGAGGACGAGAGGAGATTGTTCCCCATATCCTAAGTATGGGGTTCTTGTTATTGGCGGACCGCGCCGGAAGAACAGAGAGAGACCAGAACACCACTCCTCTCACTCAGACCCACTCACTCATCACTCAGAGTCACTCATCATTTAGACCCACTCATCACTCAGACTCACTCATCACTCAGACTCACTCATCACTCGGACTCAGTCATGACTCAGACTCATCACTCATCACTCAGACTCGCTCATCACTCAGACTCACTCATCACTCAGACTCACTCATCACTCAGACTCACTCGTACTTGTACTCATACATTCACTACACTCACTCAGGTCCACTCATCGGATGACTCACACACACTGATGTTGAGGATGTCGCAGGCGATTCTGTGGCTTCAGCACTCCTAAGGGGAGCGGCGGGGGGGTGTTTCACTCGGCCCCTTTCGCAGGATTTTGTGGGGATGTCTCGAGCGGTTTGCTTGCTTTCTGTCCCAACCTCCTTCGCTTTCGGAGCAGATTTGGAGGATGTTTCGAGCGAGGCGCTCATTTTCACGTTCCTAAGGGGAGCGGCGGGGGGGTGTTTCACTCGGCCCCTTTCGCAGGATTTTGTGGGGACGTCTCGAGCGGTTTGCTTGTTTTCTGTGCCAACATCCTTCGCTTTCGGAGCAGATTTGGAGGATGTCTCGAGCGAGGCGCTCATTTTCACCCCCCAGGTGGGCCAGATTTTGAGGATGTCTCGATCGGTTTGCTTGTTTTGGTGGCCAGGCTCGTGGGCGCAGATTCTTCTCAGGATGCCACAGGAGGCTCCAACAGGCTCCAGGAGGCCCCAGGAGACCACATGAGGTCCCAGGAGGCATCAGGAGGCAACAGAAAGACTCAAGAGGCCACAGGATGTCCCAAGAGGCTCCAGGAGGCCCCAGGAAGCTCCAGAAGGCCTCAGGAAACCACAGGAGGCCCCAGGAGACAACAGGAAGCGCCAGGAGGCCTCGGAAGGCAACAGGAGGCCCCGAGAGGCCCCAGGAGCAGGAGGCCTCAGAAGGCAACAGGAGTGGCTCCAATCCCATGTGTTTTACGTATGCTCCTATCGATTGGGCCCCACCTGGAGCACGATTCTTTGATGTTATACGTATGTTTCTATAGATTGTCCTTCTCCTGTGTACACAATCCTACATGGTTTACTTATGTTCCTATATATTGGGCCTCTCCTGGGACACGAGTCCTTGGTGTTTTACGCGTGTTCCTTTTGATCGCCCTTCTCCTGTGGCTCTAATCCGCAATGTTTTATGTACGTCTGTTGCTATAGATTGCGCCTCTCCTGGGGCACGAAACCTCCCCAGGAGGTCCCAGGAGGCCCCAAGAGGCTCCTGGAGACCCCAGGAAGCCCCAGTAGGTTTCAGGAGGCCCCAGGAGGCCCCAGGCTCATGCACAGAGACGCGCTCGAACTACTGAGGCTCATTCACACTCCAATTCATTCGCAGTTAGATTTATGTCCAGACCGTCACAACTGAAGCCCGTTTATATTCGAAAGCTCTTGCGCCTAGACATTCACGGCGGACAGGTCCATGCGAATAGATGCACATATGGGGAGCTCCACGCAGTGAATAAATTCTGCAGGGTACGCCGATAAAGCGTGATGTCGGGCGTCCCCCCCCTCCTTTCCCCCCGTGGATAGCCAGACCCTGTTTTGCGCAGCTCCGAAGGGGGTAAGCAGTATTGAAAAGCAGCATTGGTGCGCGCTGGCATACGTTGGGCTGCCCAAAGGGAGAAGGTTCGGTTATCGGCCGGAACCTCCCCCTCCACCCCCAGCCCCATCGGAAAATTTAAGTTATCCCTTCAAAAAGCACAAGTGGTCTCGAGTTCTTCGGGAATCACTGGAGGTCCCTCGAGGCCCTTGGAGGCATACGGAGGCCCTCGGGAGGTCCGCAGAGGCCTCCGCAGAGGCCCAGGAGGGCCGAGAGAGCGCACGGGAGCCTCCATCATCAAACCTCGTCCTTGTCGCCCGTCGCCCGTCGTCGTCCGTCGTCGTCGGCGTCGGCGTCGGCGTCGGCGTCGTCGTCGGCCGTCGGTCGTCGGTCGTCGGCCGTCGTCGTCGGACGTCGGCCGTCGTCGTCGGCCGTCTTTGTCGGCCGTCGGTCGTCGTTGTCGGCCTTTGTCGTCGGCGTCATCCTCGTCGCCGTCGTTGTCGTCGTCGGCGTCGGCGTCGGCCGTCGGCCGTCGGCGTCGGCCGTCGGCCGTCGTCCGTCGCCACCGGATGTCGTTATCGGTTATCGGCCGTTGTCGTCGGCCGTCTCTTGGCCAGTCATCGCGGCCCGCCGGGCATGAGCTGTCGGGCGAGGTCGGAGGGATGCAGGACGGGGGGCGAGGAGTGGCTGGTGGGGGTGAGGAGGGCGAGGGCGAGTGCGAGGGCGGCAGGGCTCATTCCCACTCGTCCGATCAGTTTCGATTCGGTTCCAATGGCTTACGATTCTAATTCGGATCTGCATGTCAGTTAGAGGCCTTGCTCGCCTGCCGATTTCTTCGACGCGATTTCCTCCCACTTGGCTGCCGATTTCTGCCGATCCGATTCATTTCGATCGCCGATCCGACTTACCGATTCCATCTTGTGCTCTCCTGGAGGACGAGTTCGAGGAGGGTGTAGCTTTCCCGCCCCTTTGGGATGCTGGGCCAGCAGTCAAGGTGCCCCTTCGGGTCCACCTTCTCCTGCACCCCTGGTTCGCCCCCATCCGCTGCCTCCCCGTCGACGTCTACCCGAAATGCGAGGGGGGGCGGAGGGAAGCAGAAGCAGCTCGCAGGACGCTGAAGAGGCCGAAGATGTCGGCGACGACGCTGACGACGACGACGACGACGACGACGAGAAGGGGCTGCAGCAGGAGGGGGAGGAGGAGGGAAGAGGAGGAGTAGGTCAAGGAGCAAATGGAGGAGGAGGAGGAGGAGGAGGAGGAGGAGATCGAGGAGAGCGAGCAAGGGGAGCGTAGAGGGACAAGGGGGGAGTTCAGTAAGGGGACGAGTGGCGAGAAGTACAGGTCGGCGATGAGAGCGCCGACGCCCAGCCGCTCGTTCCGACGGGGCGGACAGGCTGGTTGTGCCGTCGACCGCCATTGCGGCGCCGCACGAACGGCCCAGCTCCGCCGCCTCCGTGACGACGCTACCTTGGCCTCGTTTACGCCTTCCCGGGTCACCTAAGAGGCGCTCGTCACCACGGCTGGATTCGCCTCGCGATCTTGGTCAGAATTCATCCTGGTAGAGGTCCGCAGAGTAGCGTTATAGGTACCAATCGGTTCCTTTTTCACCCGCGGTCCAGCAGTGCGACGAACGGGGTAGTGTGAACAGTTCGTCGACGCCGTCAGCGGCGACGGTGCGACTGCGGCGGCGACGACGACGCCGAAGGCGCGCCCAGCCGCGGTGGCAACGGCGCAACGCCCGCCTGCTCGCCTGCTGGCCCGGGCACTGCCGGCGGCTTCCTCCCGGGCTACACCGCCGAGGACCTTTGGCGGTTGCGCCGCCACCACGGTCGCCGCCTTGGTCATCGCCGCTGACGCCGCGGGCGCGGCCGCCACCGTCGTCACTCTAGGCTTCCCATATGGGGTCGGAGCAGATGGGGTCGGAGGATCGCGCCGCATCGCCGATGCGGCGCGATGTGGGGCCCGATTTGCTTCACGTCGACGTCGCCGATGCATCGCCAATGTCGCCGATGCATCGCCAGTGCATTGCCGATACATCGCGGATGCATCGCCGATGTATCGGCGATGCGGCGCGATCCTGCGACCCCATCAACTCCGACCCCATCTGGGAGGCCTCTAGTCACTGGCGTGCGCCGCGCCGCCACCATCCTCGCCGACGTCGCTCCCGCTTGTGAATATGCGTGATCAGATGTCGTTCAGAGTGATACACAGGTGCACGCCTCGCCCGCTTGCTGCCGCGTTTTCTCCTCATAATCAAATGCACATTTCAGTCTTCGGCATCGGCGATCCCGCCGAGATAACGCATCGACCGCAGATCACTCACGTTGGTAGCGGGAACTGTGGTCTCGATATGCTGTTACAGACCGCTGCACTTCTACTTCTGCGCGCGCCATGGCTGGTCGCACGCAGAGAGCTGCCGACCGCGGCCGAGCGGATCGGGGCTCGCGTCCTCAGAGGCGTGACGACGAGGACGAGTTCGAGCAGCTCGACGGCGAGAATAAGTACGACGTGGCGACCGCACCCAGGGCCGCCGCGAGAGACGGCGGTGGCTCTCGCGACAACCTCCTTCCAAAACACGTGGCACGGATTTACAACAAAAGCGTGCACGCGCGCCCTTGCGAAGTCTTAAGAAAACCATGAGTTACCAACGTTTCCATAACATGCTAGCTACCAAACGGGCTTCGCGCGTGCGCATGTTGGAATCGTTCGGACGCCCTTGCGCGCGCGTGTTGGGGTTGAACGGTCCGTGTCAACTGAGCCCATGCGGGCCACTCTCGCGCGTCTGCCGTGCGCGCATTTCGAATCCCTTTCAAAACCTGCATCACCGACGCGAAGGCGCCGCCATCGTCGCCGGCGTGATCAGCATCGGCGCCGTCACTGGCCGCGCCGTCGTCGCTGTCAGCATCGTCACCAACATCGCTATCATCAGCATCATCATCATCATCCTCATCATCATCATCATCATCATCATCATCATCATCATCGTCATCGTCATCATCATCATCATCATCATCATCATCATCATCATCATCAACATCATCGTGTCTACACTTGTCGACGTCGCCATGATACCGCACCCGCCCAAATCGCCGACTCGCACTCAAGCGCCCGCCTGGATGTGCCGAGCGGTCAGCACCACTGCGACCGCGTCGGTCGCGCCAAACTACCTGGGTGCTGCGCGCGCGCATGCGTGGGCTGGCGCGGCCGCAGGGATGCACCAGCCAGCGCCAAGCACCCTTCGCAATCGCCGCCGCACCAAGGTTGCAAACCAAGTTGCGTGTGGGTGGGTGGGATGTTTGCGCGAGCAGTGGAGTGTTCGATTCATCGCGAACAAAAATTTGTTGCATCACATAGGTTGCACCGCGTAGAGTGCACCACGTAGGTTGCACAGCATAGAGTGCACGGCATATGTTGCATTTCATGAGTTGCATCGGCTACGTTGCACAACATAATATGCACCGCGTAGATTGTACGAACCTGCTGTTGGGTCCCACGCTGGTTAATATTCTTCTTTGGTACGGGTTCGTCACGTGGTCTGCGGCTGCGTGTGGTTGGCGGGTTTCACGTGGTCGACATGGCGAAGTGATCGCGGGCGTAGGGTCAGCAGTTTGGATCGAGACCACAGTGTTCGGGCGGATGGTGAATTCGTGGGCGACCGCGTTCCATGTTTCCCCCGTGTTTTGGTGCATCGATGGTTTGTAGATGTTTTTATGTTGCCGACGCGTCTTAGTCGGTGTATGGTATTGCGCGCGTGCGTTCTCGTCCCTCCTGGAGACTACTGTACCGCCCCTTGGGGGCGTCAGGGCCGTCCAGCGCTGCAGCGGCGAACTTGTTGTCGTTCGACATGCGTGTTCGAGAGTGCAACCAAGAGGCCGACATGGAAAGCAAACATTCGTTCTGGCCTTCCTTCTTTCCCTGTTCTTCCTTTGTGGTGCCGTTTCATTTGTTCAAGCGTGCGGGGTGCACGGGTGGTTCTCTTCTTCGTATCCCCTCCCTCCTCTTTTTCCCTTCCCTCCTATTCAGCTTCCCCGGATATCAGAGCCCTTGAGACGGCGCGTTCAAATTAAGAGTGTTCTTTCCCGTTCCTTGTACCTTTCCCTTCTTTCCCTCCTTCTCTTCCTATTCCTTCTACTGCTTCCTCCTCATCCTCCCCTCCTCATTCTCGTCTTCCTCCCTCCCTCCTCCGAGGATTGGGAGCAGTTCAACTCGACGCAGGACGGGGTGAACCTCTACAGGCACCACTGGATTTAAATCTCTCCGCCGCCCTGGCGGCGCCGCACACGGACGCCACCAGGAGGCAGGAGGGCGGAGGATGGGTGTATGTGATGCCGTCTGTGGTTTTCGAATGCTTTCCAGTACCATTCGAATGCAGCTGGAATTTTCCGGAAGTAGTGGGGAGTTTGGATAGGAGGGAAGGGGTGGATGGGCGGGCCTTCAGAGATATTTGAGGAATGAGTAACGAGTGGTACTAGGAGAAGGATGGATGAGAAATGTCGCTGGCATGTGTTAAGTCGCAGCGCGGCAGCGGCAATTCGCACGCGCGTCCGAGTGACGCCGGGGCACGAGGTCACGAGTCAAAACTTGCACGCAAGAGGGACAGGAAGGAAGGCGCGTGGCCGCAGAGAAGTAGGACATGGGGGGGACGCAAGGTCCGCTCACGCTGCGGGGCAGCGCTGAAGGTTGGGGAGCGGCCTGGCTGAGGTCCACGCTGGCAGCGGCCGCGGGGCGAGGTCGCAGTGCACCCATGGCGGGCGCCCGCAGCCAGAGAACGAGCGAGGCCTGGGCAAGTTGGGGTGGACGGGCCACGGCGGCTAAAGACCGAATGGCCGACGGCAGGAGGACGGCGGCGTGGGGCCAGCGACGTAATCGGCAGGCGCTGCAGCGGCTGTGCGATGCCCGGCTCCGCGAAGCGGGCGGCCAGAGCACTCTGGATGCGGGACGAGGGGGAGCGAGGCAGAGAGAAAGAGGCGCAGCTCGAAGCCGACGCGCAGCATCACGGCAGGAGCACGCGCAGCCCAGCGCAAGTGGCGCACGGGCTAGTGCTCAGAGCGAGGGGAAAGGGCGGCCAGCCGGCGATGGGCTGCGTGGGCAGGGCGGGGGCGGGCCGCAATGGCGGAGGCCCGAGAGGCGAACAGCGACTGCGAAAGGGACAAGACCACCGGTGGCGCAGGGGCTGTATCGCTACATGTCGTGTGGACAAGGGACGATGGGGAACATGCCGCCAGGAAGGTCTAACGGGAAGAGAGTGGAGAAGATGATTCGGACCCCAAATATTCGAACACGTGTTGTGTGTTGTTGTTTCGGGACGTGGGCCTCCTGGACTTCAAAAGAGCGTTTGCTGTGGCTGTGGCCGCCTCGTGGGGCGCGGGGAGGATGGTCCTAATTCGTCACGCTTCGTGCGTCCCTACCAACCCATCCCAAAGCAGCAACTTTTGCGAAGCATGCTGTCTGTCGTTGTTTTCGGGCGTACCTTCTCCTGCCATCGCATATATCCTCCTGTTCCTCCTACATCCCACCTGCTCTCTTTTAGCTCTTCCTTGTGGGAGGAGTGGGTGGGGGACGAGGCGGAGGAGAAGGAAGCAGAGAAGAAGGTAGGAGGCGATAGGGAGGCAGCGGCGACGACGACGACGACGACGGCGATGACCATCACGACGACGACGACGTCGACGACCGCGACGACGACGACGACCGCGACGACGCCGACGGCGAACACAACGACGACTACGATGGCGACGACGCCAAGTCAACCATCAATCCCTTTTCTGTTTTTTTGTTCCTCTCTGAGAGCCTCTTGGAGGCATCTTGGGCTGCCCAAGGGCCTTCTGGGGACATGTTTGAGGTCCCCGGGCCCTTTTGGGGTCCTCGTGGTGCCTCTTGGGGCAACCTTGGGTCTCTTTTGGGGGTCTTGGGGCCCTCTTTGGGCTCTTTGGGGGTGTCTGGGACGGCTTTGGGACCATCTTGGAGGCCACGGCTCAAAAAGGAGCGCGGCGTCAATTACGGCCCCCCTTTCGGAATTGGACACGTTGCTTCTTTGGGCCGTCTTGGGCCGCTCTTGCGGCGCTCTTGGACGCTCTTAGGCCCGTTTTGGGCCTCTTTGGGGCCTGTCTTGGAGCTCTGTTGGCCCATCGCGGGGCCATCTTGAAGCCTCAAGAGCCCATTGAAAACAAAAGGCGTGAAGGCAAACAACATTGGTGGTCCTTAGGTTGTCGAAGGGGTTTGGCCTCTCGGGAGCGTCCTTGGGAGGTTCCGTGGCCACTCAGGGCCGTCTTGGGGCGGTCTTGGAGCCTCGTGTAGGCTTGTTCGGAGCTATCTTGAGTCATCGAGGGCTATCTTGAGCGATCTTGGAGGTCATCTTGAGCTCTCTTGGGCTGTCTTGGCGCCATCTTAGGCCAACACAGACGCTCCAACCACCCGCGCCCCCCCCCCCTCCAGGCCCAGGGGGAGGGGGCAGGGGGAGGGGCAAACGCCCCCCGAAGGGGAAGAATGGGGTTGGGCAGAGGGGGCTCTCTAAATCGCTCACGCTCGGAGGGCTGGTGGGATTGGTAATGATCCCCTTTCAGAAAGTCCCTCGCACTCTCTAACCCCCTCCCCAAATGCAAAGTCGAAGCCCCCCCCCTTCGAGCGTCGGGAAGACTTGACCTCCCCCCTTCTGCGCGCCAGCAATCGACGACGAGGGCGACGATAATTCTGGCGACCATAACGAACACGACGACGAACAGGACGACAGGCACGACGACGTCGACGCTATCGCCGACGACGGCGAACCTTGTCCAATCATCGGGCAATGCTTCTTGATGGCCCGTCCGCCCGCCCGCCTTATTGGCACCCGTCGCCATCGTCGTTGTTATTGTAGTTCGTTGTGTCTCTCATCCTGAGGATGGGCTTCTTGTTATTACTTAGACTCCACGGAACAAAAACAGTAACCTCCCACCCTCAGGTCATGATCTGCGATCCCCTCACGTGTAGACTCACTCATATGCAGACTCGCTCATATTCAGGTGCGCTCGCGGTCAGATTACTGATGTTCAGCTTTTTATGCCAAGGATCATTCATGTGCAGACCCACGCACTCCGACCCGCTTTCCCCGGCTCAGACTCATTCGCAGCACTTCCCAATGCCAAGGCTAAGCATATTCAGGTCATTCATATTCTGTTTCGCTCACGTGTAGACTGACCCATACTCAGATTCACTTACATGTAGGCGCGCTCACTACCAGATCTGCGAAGCTCGCGCCAAGGAGCCCCAGACTCGCTCTCAGCTCACACTGAATCGCATTCGGATTTGCGAGGATGTCTTAGGCGAGGCGCTGGTTTCAGCTTCCCCCTGGGAGGGCGCCAGGGGGGATTGCACGGGCCCGCTCGCGTTCAGATTGTGAGGACGTCTCGATTTGTTTGCCTGTTTGCATGCCCAACATCCGCTGCCTTCGAAGCCGCTTGCGAGGATGTCTCAGGCGAGGCGCTGGCTTCGGCTTCTCCAGAGGAGGTCGCCAGCGGGGTATTGCACGGGCCCGCTCGCGCTCAGATTGTTAGGGTGCCTCGATTGGTTTTCCTGCTTGCATGCCCAACATCCCCCGCTTTCGGAGCAGATTCAGGGGATGTCTCAGGCGAGGCGCTGGCTTTCGCGGGGGCGCCAGGGGGTATTTGCATTTCCCCGTTCACGCCCAGATTGCGATGATGTCTCGATTGGTTTGCTTATCTGCATACTCAACATCCTCCGCTTTCGGAGCATCTTCCGAGGATGTCTCGGGCTAGGCGTTGGTTTGGAACCAGATTACGAGGATGTTTCGATCAGTTTGCATGCTTTGCTGGCCAGACTCGTGCGCACGGATCCTCCAAGGAGGCCACAGGAGGCTCCAGCAGGCTCCAGGAAACCTCCGCAGGCTTCATGAGGCCTCAAGATGCCTCAGGATGCCACAGGAACCCCCAAGAGGCCCCAGGAGACCCCCAGAGGTTTCAGGAGGCCGCAGGAAGACCCAGGAGGCTTCAGGAGGTTCCAGGTCGCTCCGGGAGGCCGCAAGACGCCACAGCAGGCCCCAGGAGGCCCCAGGAGGTCCCAAGAGGCCCCAGGAGGCCACAGGAAACACAAGGATGCCCCAGGAGGCCCCAGGATGCCTCATGAGGCCACGAGAAGCGCCAGGAGGCACAAGGAGGGCACGGAACGCCCCAGGAGGCCCCAAGAGGTTCAAGAGACACCAGGAGCAGGAGGCCCCAGGAGGCAGCGGGAGTAGCTCCAATCCCTGGTGTTGTACGTATGTTCCTGTAGGGTTTGCTTCCTGGGACACGAATCCTTTTTGTGTTTTACGTATGTTTCTATATATTGTCATTCTCTTGTGTGTCCAAACTGTTTCACGCATGTTCACATACATTGGGCCTGCCCTGGGGCACGAACCTTTTGTGCTTACGCGTGCTCCTAGGGATTGCCCATCTCGTGTGGCTCCAGTCCTAGGTGCATTACATCTGTTCCTACACTTTGGGCCCCGCCTGGGGCACGACTCCCTCCCAGGAGGCACCAGAAGGCACCAGTAGGCTCCAGGAGGAGACCCCAGGAGGCCACACGAGGACCCAGGAGGCCTCAGGAGGCCACGGGAACTCCCCAAGAGGCCCCAGGAGCCCCACCAGGAAGACCCAGGAGACCCCAGGAGGGCCCAGGCTAATGTGCATACACTATCTCGTACTACTGAGCTTCATTCAAACTCCAACTCATTCACAGTTAGATTCCCTCCCAGTCTATCAATGCTCAAGCTCGTGTACAGTTGAAGTCTCTTGCGCCTCGACACTCACGGCGGGAAAGGTCCATTCAAATGAATGCACATGTGGGGAGTTCCACGCAGTGAATATGTTATCATTTTGTCAGGTTTCCATGTAATGTCCCGCCCGCTGGTATATTCTAAAAGGTTCCGCCAGTGGTCGTCTTAGTCGACACCGCTTTCGGTTTTCACCTTCGTAACTCCTCCACAATCTCGCCCGTGAACGAGCGAGGCTTACATTTCAAATTCCGCCCGCTTGCCCGCCTTCTGTAATGCCGCCCACCCGCCCTCTGCAATGCCCAGCACGTCCGACCGACGCGCACACGTTAAAATCGATCCCGCGTGGCACGCCCGGCATTTTCTAGATCCCGTTTTTGTCGTTGTGTCGTCGGTTGTTTGTCGACCTCGTTCCCATCCTCGTCGTAAGCGTCATCGTAACCCTCGTCGTCAACACCGTCGTCGTATTCTTGGGACGGGTTCTCGCTGAAAGGAGGGGTCCACGTTCTGCAGGAGGGGGGGGACCTTCGAGAAGGGGGAATTGATATGAATTTGGGCGAGGTGGCTTGGATAATGCAAATCACTGCGCCACTGAGGGACGCCATCTCGGACTTTCTTCTCACCCCCTTCTTGTGGAGAGTGCTGTCATCCCTTTTTGTTGGATGTTCGCCCAGGAGCCGACCAGTCGGACAACGAGTCGGCTTGTCGTTCTCCTATTTGAGGCCAGAGGGCTCTGACCCTCTCCCCTGGAATGATCCTGGGGGTCGTTCGGGTCAGAATTTGAAGGCGGATCCGACTGGTGATAGGCACGCCCAGGTCAACAAACAGTCCAGCATCTAGATCATGTATCATCCTCCTACCCCTGTATACTCACCTTGGAGCGTACAGGTGGTGGGCCGACTGGATCCCTACGGTGGAAGGGCAGACGTGGTGCGCCAACAAGCAGCGGGAAGCGAGGACGCTGGTGGACGGCATGATCAGGCAGTGGGGGCTCGAGGAGACGCCCGCGATTTCCCGCAGCCACTCCCCCTGAAGAGTAACCCGAGGCTGTATCAGCGATGGTGCAATACACACTTCCGTCCAAAGTCCCCCTCTCATAAGTGCCTACAAGTATAACTGTCCACTGCGGGAGGAACCTCCCTTGAATGACGAGCGCCCGGTGGGCTTGCCACTCAGGCGGGACCCCGTTCCGTAAATGATCCGCCCGCCATTCTAGCTTTCTGAGAGCAGCGTAATGATGTACCATTCAGTTCAAGGAAGCGTCCAGCGCTAGCCCCATTTCAAACAGAATCTGCCCTCCACCCATGCAAGTGGTGCACAGCCTCAAAGCCTGATCAGAAGCTTTACGGAAGTCTGTGGCGGAACTCCCATTTTGGAAAGGCGCCGTTTTCTATTCGTGCACGAGTTGTTTATCCTTGTACATGTTGCAAGTTTCTACGATGCACATGTGCGGCCCTCAGGAGAGAGGCCCATGTTGAAACGGCCGACCCTCCTTATCTTCTAGCTGTGCGAACTTTGTAGGTGGCCTTCGCACAACACCCCTCGTTTGAAAACCACCGGCCGTCCATCCTTCTAACCGTTGTAAGAATGAAGGTGACGGTGCAGGGGTCTGAGGCGAGAGACGTATAGTGGAATCAGGTATCCCTCCATCCGTGTGATTGTAGGAGTTCTGTGGGCTTCAAGACAGTAGGTTGTAAGGAAGTTTCCAGCGGCACGCCCGACCCAGCCCACGGACACGTCTGGTGGTGCGACAAGGGGGATGGAGGAGGAGGAGGAGGGGAGGGGGAGGAGGAGTGAGGACGTGCGGGGAGGCGTGGAGTCTGGATGCGGAGGGATGAGTTGCGAGGAGGAGGAGGAGGAGGAGGAGGAGGACGTGGACGAGGAGGAAAAGGAGCAGGAGATGGAAGAGGAGGAGGAGGAGGAGGAGGAGGAGGAGGAGAAGAGCAACGGGGCAGAAGAGAGGAGCAATATGGTGAGATAAAGGAGGAATGAGAGAGGTAGGAGGGGAAGGGGGAAGGAGGAGGATGGAAGAGCCAATAACATAATGAATGAGGATGGGGGGCAGGAAGAGGTGGGGGGATGTATGAGACGGGGGAGCAGCAGGAAGGACGCTGTCGTACGAGGGGGGAGGAGAAGGATGAGAAGCAGAACTTAGATGACACCGTTAGTCCCCCATTCACCGTGGACATACAGTCTGCCCGCTTCTGGAAGTGGAGAATCAGGCGGAATGTTCGTTAGGCGGTGCAGGAGGAGAACCGAGGATGCGGAGAATGAGGAGGGCCGAGGAAAGAAGGAGGAGGAAGGGGGGAGGACATGGATGGTAGAGGGTGAGTACAAGCTGTGCGCGCTCTCGCAACATCTGACATCTTATCCTTTCCTCCCTTCCTTCACATTGCGCTGTTTCTCTCTATCCGCGGGCGCGTGTCATAGCCGACCTGGATCCCAAACAAGAAGACCTCACCGTGGTATGGGCAATTGGGAAAGGGGATTTGCGTACATAGGATGAGGAGGTGGCTGGTGAACAGGACGATGAGCAGGAGGAACAGACGCAGTTTGTGAAGGACGAGGATGATGACGAGCAGGAGTAGCAGGGACTGGAGTGGGAGGAGGAGGAGGAGGAGGATGACCCAGGGAAGGCTGAGGAGGGGAAATGACAGGGGCGACAATGATGAAAGTTGGATTTGGATCCGGAGAAGTGGCCGACGCTGTTGCGAGAGCGCCATTCTGAACGACGCGAGCAAGTCGCCGATCTCAAAATTGGGCCCATGCCTCAGCGGGAACATCGTTTTGAAACACCGAAAACAATCGAATTGCAACACACTCAAAGAGAATAACAACACCTTTGCCCCATTCTTAGTGTAAACTCCATGTAAACACATATTATGCGGAGACAGCCCGTTCTCTTCCAGATGCGGTTTTTTGGAGAGACGAGAGTATTCATATTGTGGAAGTGTGAAGGGAGGAGGCATGGAGCACGAGGGCAGAGACAGGGCCATACGATGGCGGCGCGTAAGGGGAGAGAGATGGTGAGGAGATGGAAGCCTGCTTCTCAGCGCTCTTCCCTCTCGCAAGCGGCCCCAGACGTTGCGGTCCGGCGAGGGCGTCATCGACATAGGCGGCGACCCAGGCTGGCGCTTGAGGAGGGATGAGGAAATGAGAATGAATGAGGAGACGGAGCAGTAGGAGGAGAGGAACGAGGTCCTCCCCCTCCCTCCTCTCTGGAGGAGACAAGCATGAGGAGGAGCGAGTAGAGGATGACCTTGCTGGCACGGGGGGGTGCGAACGCGAGGAGAAGGCCGAGAGGAGGAGAAGGAGGAGGAGGACAAGGAGGAGCGGCGGCGGCAGCATGAGCAGCTGAAGCATGGAGCACGAGTGCGATTGCTCGCAGCCAGAATGGGCAGCGGCAGCCGCTCCTTTCCTCGTGATGCTCTCCCGAGTGAGGCGGGGGATCCCCTCCCTCCCTCGGCAGCATGCTCAGAGGCCCAGGCACGCCCGCCACCTTTCGGCCTGCCCAGTCCTCCGCTCCTGCGGAAGCCTCCTCCCCTCCTGCCCTTCTCCTTTGGCCTTCCTTTTCCTTGTGCGCGTATCCTCCCTCCTCCCCCATTCGCGTCCTTGCCACCCTCTCCCATTCCCCCCTCCCCCTTCCTCTCTCCTCCCCCATTCCCCCCTGGTACCCCCTTCGTACCCCATTCCCTTCCCCCCTCGCTCTTCCCGTCGTCGGGGAACCGACTCTGGCGCGGGAGGGGCATGGATACTAAGAGTCTCGAGGAGGAGGGGGCAGCGTCAGGGGGATGCGGGGGGGAGGGGAACGAGAGAAGGAGAGCACGAGGAGAGGGAGAGGAAGAGGAATAATGGTGAAGATTTCCTCTGTGTTCCCCTTGCGCTCCTGGGTAGAGGAGTTCGCCACTGACCGGTTGCCCCGCAGCAGGGGTCCCAATTGGGGATCAAGGGCAGGTTGGAGGAGGAGGAGGAGGAGGAGGTTGACGAAGATAATGATGAGGAGGATGATGAGGTGATGGACAGGGGGAACGGCCTAGGGCTTCGTGGCCAGGCTAGAACAGCCCGAAGTGCCAGCGCTAGGCAGACGAGAAAGGGAACGACGAAGACCAGGTGGACACAGATGAGGATGAGAAGGAGGTGACGGAGGAAGACCGCGTGGATGAAATGGAGGACTTGGCGGAGGAGAGGGCCACATGGAGGATGATGAGGGAGGAGGGCGGTGATGAGGGGAAAGAAGAGGAATGAGAGAGGAGGTAATCGAACGCGGGAAACAATATGATAACATTATTAGCATCCATCTCAGAGTTTTGGTTGCTGTGTTGCGCTGTGTGTTTACTTGTATATAACTGTACCGTCTGTTCGATTGTGGTTGTCTATATGTGCATGTGTGTACACATGACATGTGTTTATATATACACATACACCAATATATACACATACAATTATATAGACATTAACTATTGTATTGCGCCACATCCGCCGATGTCCCTACATATTGTTTCCCATGGCTTTGGGGCGCGACGGTTCTGGGAAGGAGAATGCGGAAAGGAGGAGCATGAAGATGATGAGGAGGAAGAGGAGGAGGACGGGTGAGTGGGAGAAGCAATAGAGGAAGGAAAAACAGGTCTCGTGTGGGCTCCCACGCTGCCAAACATCGAATGCCCTTCGGCCCATCCCGCCACCGTGTCTGGTTTGTGGGTCTGGGTCTTCACGAAAGTTTTGTCGGGGTCTCGTCGGATTATCTGAGAGGCTCTTTGGGGGAGCCAGCAATGGAGTGGTCCTTGGGAACCACGCGGGAGTCTTCTGGGAGCTGTCGGTGTTTTCTTGGGGCTTCTTAGAAGAGCCGTGGGGGCATCTTGGGGCCTCATTGGGGGCGTTCTGGGAGTTCGTGTGGCCTGGAGCCCGCTCGAAAACGAGGGCTCGGGATGTCCGTAGAGGTTTCCGTCTGGGCGTCTCTTTCGGAGGTGTTTTGGATGATTTTTGGGCCGTCCTGGAGACTACTGGGGCCATCTTGGGCTCCTCTTCTCGACCACATCCTGAGGACAGTTTTATGAGGCCTGTAGGGAGTTGGTTGGAAGCAGTGCTGCAGCCTCTGAGGGCTTGTTTTGGGACCTATTGACGTGTCTTGGCGGTCCTTTTGGGGCCTCTGAAGCTTTCTGGAGGTATCTTGATGCCTCCTGGGTGCATCTTGGGGCGCAGAGCTCGAAGTTTCGATTCGAGCTCCCGCTGTTGGGCCCTTCTTGGAGCTGTGTTGACGCCCTCTTGGAGTGTCTTGGACGGATCTTCGGCTGTCTTGGGGCCCTCGTGGGCCGTGTTAACTATCTTGGGAGCTTCTTGGGACAGCATTGGGGGCTTATGGGCAGGTTTCAACGCTGTGAAGGCGGAAGAGCCGCGCGTGTGTGTGTGTATGTATGTATGTATGTATGTATGTATGTATGTATGTATGTATGTATGTATGTATATATATATATATATATATATATATATATATATATATATTCATGCGCTAGAAATGTACGTTGTTCAAGGACAACTAGTATTTGTTTCTCGTGTGGTTATCTTTGGAGGCCTTTTGACGGCTTCTTGGGGTGTCATGGGGGTATATTTGGCTGTTTGGATGCCATTTTGAGCGTTTTGGAATATCTTTCTGTTCCCCCCAAGGATTCTCATATACTTCCGATAGCATCTGAAGACTTCCGAGGCCCTCCGATTTCTTCTGAAGACCTCGGAGGGCCTCTGAGGCCCTCCGAGGGCCTCCGTTGTTCCACGCATCGCCCTGGCGCCACCAGGCGTCCCGCGCAAGCCGCCCGCCATCGGCGGCCTTCGGCAGCCCTGGGTGGCCCTCGGCGCCCCTTGGCGGCCGTCGGCGGCCCTCGGCAGCCGCACTGCCGGCCTCCCGGCCTGCCGGCCTGCTCTCGCAGAGGTTTCGCGGCTGCCGAGCTCCTCCGCTCTGGTGTGCCGGTCACCGTCGTGGATCCCGGGTTCGGGCAGGCCGGCAAGGCCAACAGCTGGACTTCGCAGGTGGCCCGCGGGCGGGAGCGCGCGGGCGGAGAGGCGGGATGTTCTTTGGGAGTTGAGAGAGGGAGTGAGCGAGCATGCTGCAAGCCAAGATCTCCATGAGGCTGGTCTAGCTTATACGAGGCAGACTTAGTGGGAGGACTGGGCGCCCAGAGGGAAAAGGATTGGGGGGAGACTCCTCTTCGCTCCTCATCCCCCGACCTCGGACTTCCCCTCCCGAGCTCCTCCACCTTCGTCCTCATTTCCAGAAGGCTTTTTGGAGGTAAGGTTTCAGGGTGTTTTGAGAGGACCGGAGAGATACTCGGGGGTTCCGAATGCTGTCGGGGGTTCAGGCAGGCTGATGATGGAGGGGGGAGATACTGTGGAGAAGCAGCAGCAGGAGGAGGGGAGGGTGCCGGAGGAGCGGGTGGGTTATTCTGGGCATGCTCCGGGTTGGTAGCGTGCTCTGGGAAGAGGACGGCGACGGCAGCTACGAGAGGAGACGCGTATGACGAGGACGGACAGGCGAGGAGGACGAGGCGAAGGCGAGAAGCACGCACGGCGTTTGTAGGAATTCTGCCGTTTTCGAGCGATGTTGGCCGTCGGGTCAATCACACATACGATCTGCAACGAACGACGGGTCGACGAGGGTCGGATACAAGGCCACGGACTCCCTCGCAACGAAAGGGTTCATCAGGGAAACGGGTCCCAGACTGCGGGGCCTCCCCCAGGACCTTCCCCCAGAAACGAGTCGTTTTCTGACGGCCCCGCGGAGCCGTGACGAGATGTTGCGCGTACACCTGAAGGACCTGCTCTTCCAGGACCCGCTTCCTTTATGCTGAGCCCCCAGGAACCCACGAAATTCAACAATCCCGGCGTCCGACGCGTGGGTTTTCAGCTCTGATGACGCTGATGGTGTTCGTGGTGTTGGTGTTTGCCCTACGCTCGCTTGGTCTGAAAATAGTTTCAGGTCAGTGACGTGGCTTTTGCGTGTGCGGGAATGTGCCGAACTCGCCTGTGGCCTCGCTGGCTGAGCGCCCTCCAGCCTAAGATACAGCAGCAATGCCCATGCTGCATGCTCGTCTTCTGGCGTTCTGCGACCACCAGCTCGGCGGGGACGTTTCGACTCGGGCGCACTCGCAGGCGGGCCTCGTCCCCGTCCTCGTCCTGGTCGTCCATGTCCTCCTCTTTCCCTTGGGATCCCGCTGCGTGGCGGCGCTCTCTGACGAGCCGTCCCGGTCGAGGCCTGGCACCGACTGGTGTTCAGGCCCAGCGTCCACATTGTCCTCCGCGCAGGGGCACACATGTCCAGTGGTTGCTCTCGCTGCTGGCATGTTGGGTCGTCCCCTGTCGCCCTGTACCTTTCACCTTTCCCTTCTCGGCTTGGGTGTATGTTGGCCTTGACCGCCCATGCCTCTCGTCTGGAGCGTGAGTCACGGAGCCACAGCACTCGCCATCTGCTGCCCTCTCAACAACTCAGACGAGCCGTCACAGCGCAGCGAAGCGCAGCGCTGGCACAGGCGCCTGCGGGTAGCGTCTGCGATACGTGTGTGGCACGTGGGCTTGCCCTCCTTCGTCCGCCTCGTCTGCCTACGTCTCTACCGGCAGGGGTGGGCCGGGCCCCTGGTGCCCGGTTTCTGTTTCTCTGGACGGGATAGTCTCGCGACTACAAAGGGTGTGGTTCCGCCCGGGTGCGGTGGTGATTTGCGTCGTAGGGGCTTTGGGGGGCACCACAAACCATAACCTTTGCAAACCGCACCCTTCGGGGTCGCCGAACGTGACCGCCACTTCCTCCCGCGGAGGCGCGACCCCCTGGAAAGACATTGTGTGGCATCGTCGGCTCCCAGGCGCGTCTCTCGCGGGAGCGTGTCTGCGTGGTCAGCGACTCGAGCGACCGCCTGGCCAGACCGCGCCGTCCGCAGACGCCGCTCCCGCGGGCCGCTCGCGGGGCGGTAGGTTGGGCCCTGACACCTCAGCGTCATGAAGCAATCACGACGGGCGTGGTCCCCCGCCTGCGCTGTCGTAGCCCTCTTCTTGCATCAGTTTCGTTAAACCGATCCCTATCCCCATCCCCATCCGATACCCGCCATCCCACCACCCCAGTTAGGGATACACCAGTCGAATCCCGAACGGAACAGTCTGTATCCCCATCTACGGGCCCAGGCCACGCCAGGGGGGCCAGTGGGGCTCAGGCCACACCAGTGGGGATACGGACCTGTTAAACGATGTTCATTGCATCTCTCATTCTCCCTGTCTCCGTCTTCGTCGTCGGGGGGCTCTTTCATGTCCGACAACGGCATCGGCTATTTTCGCCTGCTACTGGCCAGGGGACCTCGGACCAATCTGGCTGGCTCGAAGAGTCCCGCGCGAAGATTGAGTCGAGCGTTGCGCGACGCTGCGCTTTTTTGCACGACGCGGAATGTCTGGGGGCGCGGGCGTTTGTGAGTTGAGGACGTCCGTTGAAGTCTGGAGCTCTGGGGGCACTCCGACAGCCAAGATTGATCAAGACTCTGCGCTCCACGCGGTGACAGACACTACGCATTTGAATTGTCTCTCCGTCTAACTAGCTCACGCCCTGTTGTTCCCTCTCTCCCTCGTCGGATAATTTCTCTCGACATGCTCAACGTGCCAGGGGGGCCCATGTACTCTCCCACCCCCCCGAATCCAATTCTGCCCCCACCTCTGTCCCCCTCCCTCATCCTCCCCATCTATCCTCTTCAGGCCATCAATGTACATGCATGCACATATACATACACATATACGTATACCTATACACTTACATATACATATACATCGACGTATACATACACAGACGCATCCTTTTCGAACAAACTCTCCCAAACCGCCCCTGGGCTCCTCATCATCCTCACCTTTTTTTTGGTGAACAGTCTTGGCTCACGAGCAGCCGCGCAGTTTCGTGTCGCGTCCCGCCTCGCGCTGCATGGGAGCATCAGGCGCTCGGGCGCTCGCTGGCGCGGCCCTCCTGAGCTGCGCATCTGCTGCGGGCAGCAAGGCACGACCAGACGCATCGCGCGGCGCAGGGCCCCAGCAGCCGGCCGCGAGGCAGGTGTCCGCTTCGTTTGATTCCGCGACGTTGGGATCGTACGTGCTGCTGAGGTCCCCGCAGGACTAGAGAACTAAAACGCGGCATAACCATGAACTGTTGGAGCTCCGCGCGGATTTCTCGGGTCGGCGCCGGACCCGTTCCCTGGCCTGCGGAGCGCGCCAGACGCGGCGCCAGAGGCGCCGCCAGGGGCCCCAGCGCCGATCCGATGAGTGCGCACGGAGCTCCAAGAATTCTATATTTTCGCCGTTCCTGTGGTTTTGTAAGCCTTCCACGAAGACGCAGACACCATATCAGAAGGCCTGATGGCTTCTAAGAGACGGTCTCCTTTTCCTCGTTCCGGAAGGATGCAGCAGCCGCTGCCAGCGCGGGCGACGTCGCAGGGGGTGTTGCGAGGGCGCCGCTGCGAGGCGCAGCGGTGCTGCGCGGCGGCGCAGCGTTGCTGCGCGGCGTAGCGGTGCTGGGCGCCTGGGAGCTGGTCGTGCGCCCGCGGGTACTGCCCGACAGGGCGCCGGGAGAAGCGCCGCCCGTCGAGCTGCCCGCCGAGCATCGGGGAACGAATAATGACATAAACTTCAGTGGGTGACCAGCCCGGGGGAAGAGGTGGCGGGCCTTCTCAGAAGGCTCGGCAGTCCCCCGGCCTTCTGTGAAGTTTTCTAAGTCTTCCCCGAAAACACAGCAAATTCTAGACGCATCCAGAAACGATGCCCAGAGGAAGTGCCTCGATCAGGGAAGTGGGCAGCACACAAAGGAAGGGTACCCCAGTGGAGGCCGGTTGGAGCGTCTTAGGGGCCTCTTGGCGGTCCCGGACGCCTCTCAGAGCGTCTTGGGTGCTTTGGAGAGCTTCTTGGGGCCTCTTGGGGATCTCTTGGGGGCCTCTTGGAGGCCTCTGTGGCGCTTGTTGCGGCCTCCTGGGGCCTCATGGGCGCCTCGTGGGGCCCTCTTGAAGCGCTCTTGGGAGCCTTCAGCGCGCTCTTGGAGCCCTCTTGGGCCATCTTGGAGTCATCTTGAAGCCTCGGATGGCCATCGGAAGCGAAAAGGCGAGAAAGCCCAAAATGTTGATTTCCCGAAGGTTTTGGAAGGATTTTGGCCTCTTCGGGGCCTCCTGGGGGAGCTCTTTGGCCACTTGGAGCCGTCCTGAAGCGGTCTTGGGGCCTCTTGGAGCATCGTGGGAGCCATCTTGAGGCATCTTGGGATATCTTGAGCCATCTTGGAGGTCATCTTGGGCTCTCCCAGGCGCTCTTGGAGTCATCTGAAGCAGTGCCACCCCCCCCAGGAGGCCCAAATGTGGCCAAAACCTTAGTAAAATCAATGATTTGGGCATTCTCGCCGAGGCCTCTTGGAGCGTCTTGGGTGCCTCTGGGGGGTCTCTTGGGGCCTCGTGGGGGTCTCTTGGGAGCCTCTTGGGGGCATCCTGGGGGCCTCTTGGGAGCTTCTTGGGGCCACATGGGGCCATCTTGGGGCCATCTCGGGGCCTCTTGGGGCATCCTGGGGGCCTCTTGCGGCCATCGTGGAGGAAATCGATGAAAGAAGAGGGGAGCTCTAATTGGCGCTGCCCCCTCAGAAGGCCAAAATGGGGCCAAAACCATAGTAAAATCAATGATTTTGGCTTCCTCGCCGAGGCCGTTTTGGACGCTCTGACCGCTCCCCGCCCCTCCTGTCCAGGTCAGTGGGGAGGGGGTAGGGGGAGGGGTAAACCCCTCCCCGAAGGGGAAGAGGGAGGGGTGGAAGAGGAAACGCCCTAAACCACCGACGCCCAGAGGGCTGGTGGGATTTGCATCGCTTGGACGTGTGCACTTGTTCTTCGGCGAGGACCATCGAGGAGCATCTGGAGTCGCCGCCAGCGCCGCTCTGAGAAATCCGCGCGGACCGCGTAAAGTTCATGTTTATGTCGTTGCTTCTTCCCTGGAGCATGCCCCCAGCGCCCCCGAGCGTGGCGGCCCAGCGCCGCCGCCTCGCGATAAGAGCCAGGCTGCCCCGGCGGACGAGGGCGCGGGGCCGCGCGCGCCGAGCCACGTGCTCATCTCGGGCAGTGCCGAGGGGAGTCACCTCACCAGTTCTTCCTATTGTCTGGGTCGGGGGAAGAGCGAGATGGGCACATCACCCAGATCGGATCTTGGCAGCTTGTGCGCGCTTCCAAGTGTGTATCTGCCTTGCCAGGCTTGCGCGATTGAATGCTGTGTTCATTTGCCTTGACAGGCTTGCACGATTCATCGCTGTGCCCAGTCTGGTCAGAGGCTGATGCGCAAATGCCACTACAGCTGGAAAGTCAGCCAAGCAGTTTTTCCCCGAAACCGAGGTTCCGGGATCGGAGAGAGAGGCGGGCTTTGGATGTTTGGTGTCGTTCCTGGTGGCTCGCGAGTGCTTCTGGGGAAGCCCACGTTCCTCAAGGAAGTGGCGCTTCCTTGAGTAAGTGGCGACCTCCCTGGTGGCGACCCCTCTTGGTATTGCCCAATCGTCGTGGCTGGCATGGCCGCCGCGGCCGGCGCCGCCGTGGGCCTGGTGCTGGGCGGGCGCCGCGGCGCACCGCCGCCGCGGGCGGCCGATGGAAAGGTGGCCGATGCCCCGAGCCGACGCCGACGCCGCCGCTGCCGGCGCCGACGCCCAGGAGCGGCGCGGTCGCCTTCTGGGCGTCGGCGCAGTGATCTCAGAGGGGATGCATCGACTCGGGGTCGCCCACTCGTCGCCGATAGGGTCCCGATAGCCGGAACGCGCGAGTTCACGATCGTGGGCCTGTCGCCGAGCTATCGGCGGGATGCATCGCCGATTCCAGGTCCCCCTGGACGTTGCCCCTCATCATCGGCGTCGTCGGCGTTGGTTCGGAAGGTGGCCGACGTCCTGAGCCGGGAGGCGACGCCTGGAGCCCCTCCGATCGAGGTGGAGAAGCTGAGGAGGTTCCACGAGAAGCTCCACGGCGCCGTGCGCGAGCTGAGGGAGGAGAGGGCGCGGGGGCGGGAGCTGCAGAGGCGGCTGGACGAGCGGAGGGGCGTTCCCGCAGGTGCGCCACCGCCACAGTTCTCGGAGGGCCCAGAGACCTTCGACATCTCGGACCCGCAGATGCTGGCTCCCGTGAGCGTGGTGCCGACGTCTGTGCCGCGCATGATGCGCATCATCTCCGAGGAGGCCATCCCTGCAGACGGCGAGGACCTGCCGGTGCCAGTGAGGGAGAGGCAGCACTCGCTGTACGGGTAATTCGCGTAGTGCCGCAGTCGTCCCTGAGCTATGTCTGGGCGCTGCCTCCTCGGGTCACTGCGCGGGTTCCCCATACTCCGCGGGCGCATCGCGAAGATCAGGGCAGATCAAATGCACAGCTTGCAGTCGAGGGGGGCGAGGATGTAGGACGAGGAGGAGGAGGAGGAGGAGCAGACATGGTAGCTGCTACGTGCAGGATTAGGAGCGCCGATGCTGCACATCTTACGCACACACATGCTGCGCACGCACTAGAGAGGGGACGGCCACGCACGTGCTGCGCACGCACGCTCATGTGTAGAACTAGTGGTGACTTGCGTGGGCACGGCGACAACCAGTCATAGTGGCCATGGCGCATGATTAAGTCGCCAGGCTCGCATCATCCTCATCGCCACCACTCTTCACTTCACCATGTGGGAAAGGTGGGGGGCCCTGCAATGAGGATAGGCCTCCTTTTCATGCTTGCCCTCACTGCCATAACTCACTGACCGATCGCATGCCCTCCAGTGGCAGCGCGTTTATTGCGCATCGGTTTCAACAGCGTCTCTGGAGTGAGGACCGCCCTTGCTTCGCAATGTGTGTCCCTCTCCAAGCTATCTTGTGGCAGGATGTTGGAGCACATCTGGTTCGCCACCGTGCCAGCGCGGCATAATTTGCAGCGGTTTGTGTCAGGTCTTCGCCTCCAGGATCCCGAAACCTGGAACACGCGGTACGTATTTCCGATGTGTCGAGAATTAGCAATAGCACTTGGTTACTGCCTGCGTCAGGGCAATGAGCCATTGACACGAGTCTGCTCGGCCCTTGCCGCCCCCTCCCGAGCGGTCCCGGAGCGCAGCCCCAGCCAGGCGCCGCCACTGAGCCTGGGTTATGGATCTGAGGCCTCTTGGACGGTCGTTGGGATCTCGTCGAGGCCTCTCGGGCGCTTCCTGAAGGCAACCGTGAGGCCTCTCGGGGATTGTTTTCAAGTCTCTCGGTGCCTCTTTTCAGCCTCTCGGGGGCCTCTTGGGGCTGCTTTGGGGTCTCTTTCGGCCTCCTTGGGGGCTCCTGCGGTTTTTCGGGTGGTGGCACACATAATTTTCGGTTCGTGTTCCCGCTATGTGTCCCATCATTTCTTATGAGGCTGGTGATCTGTTCTCTACGTCCGTGCCATCGATCAAGGTGAGATCGACAGCGGAAGCGGCGGAAGCCGACGCGTCCAAAGCCTTGCGGCGCGCAGCGCCAGCGGGGAGTTAAGATTCTCTCGGACCCGACGAGGGAGCGACAGCAACAGCAGCGGAGGAACCTCGGCGGCGAGCCCGGGGGAATGAAAAGGGGCGGGCTTTTTCAGAAGTCTCGGAAGGCCGCATAAGGCTCAGCATTCCCACAGGGCAGGGACAATCTTTTGGAAGACCAGTGGGTTTCTGAGAAGCCCAGCCGCCTTCTGAGAAGGCCTTCTTCGTATGACTGTTCTTCGGCCTCGCCGCCGATGCCGGAAGCGACGTGGAAGGAACAGCGATAGCAGCGGAAGCAGCACGTACCGAACAGGAACATGTTTCATACACGTGAACGTGTTGGTGATTTGCGGGGACCTCCGAAAGTGCATGTTCATGTCACTTGCCCTCGCTCGGACGCCCACTCCCCGTTAGTAGCTCCAGCAGTTTATATGTTCATGCCGTTGTTCCCCCTTCCCTGGGCCAGACGTGGAAGCGACAGCAGCGGCAGCGAAGGGAACACGTACGTACTCTGTTTTCTCCCGCCGCGCACCATCGTGCGGGGACGGGGGCGGCGCGCTCCCGCCGCGGGCGCGCCGCGGGCAGGGGCGAGCGCGAGGCCGAGGGGGCCTCCAGCGGTTGCGCGTGACGAAGCGGCCATTGGGGAAGCACGGGGTGCGGGCGAAGGAGGGCAGGAGAGGACGCGCAGAGGGTGGGAGACGCTGGGGCCCCTCTGGCGTTTGCCCGCGCCCGCTTCGCGCCCGGTCCCCTCGGGCCGGCGGGCGGGGCGCCCCTTCCCCGCCGTGCAGCTGCCCGCCGTGGCAGGTGCTGCAGGACCCCAGCAACTGGCAGAGGGTCCCCGCGGGCAAGGCGCCACGATGCGTCGGGGTGGGTGGGTCGGGGAGTCGCCTCCGCCCCGCGAGGGGAGGGGGCAGAGGGGAGTAGGGCTCTTGGCGGGCCTCCCAGAAGCTTCTTGAGGAGACTCTTGTCTATTGGTTTCTATGTCTAGCCGGATCAGCTTTCTATGTATATAGGTATCAGCTACATGTAACGGGGAACCGGACCCGGGGACCCCAGGGCCGCGACCCCGACCACAAATGGGTGTGCGGGGGGCCTCAGGGGGGCTCCCTGGCGCCCTCTAAAATCGCCCGAAGACGGCCCTGGACTGTCAGAAATCGCCTTTCCAGACTGCCAAGACGACCAATGACGGTAGAGATGACCCCACGATCAGCCCTAGATTTTTCAAGAGGCCTCTCAGACGCCCCAAGAAGCCTCCACAAAGTCTCCAAGGGGCCTCCCAAGAGCGCCCGAAGAGGCAACAACGTTGATTTTCAACAATCGTTAATTTTCCCACATCTTTTCAAGGCTTTTCGAGTTTTCGCCTTTTCAGTTTCCCGACGCTCCAAGACGGCCCCAGAGGCCCCCAAGACCGCTCGAAGACAGATGAAGAAGCCTCCAAGAGAGCCCCAAGACGGCCCACGAAGGCCCCAAGACAGTCCCTGAGACGCCCAAGACGGCACGAGTGGGCCCCAAGACGGCTCCAAGACAGGCCCAAGAAGGGGAACACGTACCCCCAGAATTACCCTGAGCCTGAAGACGCCTCCAGAGACGCTCACGACAGCCCCAGAGGGCCCCAGGAGACTTTCCAGAACGCCTCCGACAAGCCAGACCCCCTCCAAAACCAAAATGGAATTCAGTGACTTTCGCCTTCTCGCCTTGTCGCCTCCGATGGGCTGCTGAGACCTCACGATCGCTCCGAAGTGGTCCCCAGGAGGCTCAAGGATGCCCCACAAAGCCCCTCAGACGCTCGAAGAGCCCCCAAGACGCCCCCAAGAGGCCCACAAGAAACACCTACAACTCGTGGGTGACTCCTGACGTTGCATGTGTGCGTGCGCATCTGCACGCAACTGTGAGACTGTCACGGGCTGGAGCTGACTAGAACCCAATCGCGCGCGAAGCGCGCGCTTGGTTCTAGTAACATACGTTATGGGAAATGTGCAGGCCACGCACTGCAAATATACTTGCCAATCGCCGTCAAAAAAATCCGAATGCACAGCTACGCAGAAGAAACGCGCTTACGCAAGTCCATGCAAGAATACTGCGTGTGCATTTTTTTGCACAAGAAATATTAGGACAGACCCATACAAAAGAGTTCCGATTGCAATTCATGCAACGGGTACCACTGTGCGAATCTCTGTCACAAGGGGTCCCATGCAGAGCCGCACACATTGCTTTGGTGCTACAGCCGCGCAACAAGAAGGCAATTGTAAATCCCCCACGGGTTCCAATCCGCACAAAGAAAACCGCTTCTGTAAACGGCCGAGAAAGGGATCACCATGTAGAGCCGCACAATAATGATTCTGCTTGCAATCCGCACAGTAGGAATCATGTGTGACTCGCCCACAAGAGGGTTCCTTTTGAAATCGGGCATTTTTTGTTGGGGGCGCACCGCAAACAAATGCCCAGCCGATGTGCTGGCATGTTTTCTGGTAGGGGGGGCGGGGGGCGCCCCCCCTTACAACATGTGGGAACGCTTCTTTTTTGTCATCTTAAAGATGTCCTGCCTGTTCCAAGGGAGTGTGGTTGTGGGCGAGTTGTGTATTGAAATCTATTGTGTGCATGGCATAGTCTAGCTTTGCGCGTTGTCAGACATTCATTTGTGGGTGTTTCGTGTGTGAGTCCTGCTCTTATGGATTACAAGCACAATATTTGGTTGTTTGCCATGTTGTGCAGCAATATTTGGAGGAATCTCCATGCACATTCATTGTGAATTTCGGAAACGCACGATACAACCTTCTTGTAGTGGATGCGTGAGAGCGGTGTGCGGAAACCGTGCGCAACGCAACACGCAACGATACAATACAGCAAATTTTCAAAACAAAACGGACATGTCCAGATGAACGGTGGCCACTTTGGGGGCATCTTAGACAGAATAAGCAAAGAGGCTTCTTGATTCTTTGAGCGACGTAATTGAATTACATGTGTGTGTTGCGTCTTGAGGCCCTGGGGGCAGCCGTCTTGGGGCGTCTTGGCGTTTCTTGGGCCATCGCAGGCAGTCGCGGGTTCCTTGGAGCGCTCTAGGGTCCCCCCGGGAGCCACTTGGACCATCTGTTAGTTTTTGCAGACTCTCTTGTCCCGTCTTGACGCCTTGCCCCGTCAGGACAAGTTGTTGCGGCAATCCTACAATTCACGCGACGAGGCCGGATTCTGTTCAAATCGTGCCACCCGCTGGGATAGCAGGCCTACGCGGCGCTTGTGTTTCAAGAGGGCCGCTCCCGCAGTGCAGCGGAAGAATTGTGCTCTAGGGGTTGTTGCAGAGGAGATTTGGTGCGGGAGGGCGCGCTGCAGCATCATGGACGCATCTTGTATTTTTGGATTCGGTCCCTCTCGCCATACTCCTCCACGTCCGTGTTCCATCCCCCGCTTTTTCGCATTTCTTCCACCTCCTTGTTATTCATCCTCCTCCTTTCTCCCTGTCTCTCCTCCTTCCTTCCCCTCTTCCCATTCCTTCTGCAGCCTTTGGCGATCTGCCTGGCTTTGCGATCTACCTGGCTTTGCGCCACTCGTCGGCCTGCGAAGGTGCCCTTCCGGCTCATCCGGCGGCCCTTCAACCAGGCGCGCGTTCGCAACAGGGGCCCAGCGGCAGCCGCGGTGTTGGCGCCACGTTTCGCACCTCCCAGGGGGGGGAGCAGGAGAGAAGGTGGAGGACCTCTTTCGTCCCTCCCTCCTTCCCCTCCCTCCTGCCACCCTCCACCCTTTTCTCCCGACTCTTGTCCCCTCTTCCTCTGCCTCCCCCTTCCCCCCCCGCCCTCCTGTCTGCCCCCCTGCTTCTCCCCTCCTCCTTCCTGGGAGAACCGTTTTACCAATTTTGGATTCAGTTTTATATGTCAGGTGATGATATTCCATTTGTTTTGAAATAGTCCCTGGCTTCGCTTGGTGAGACATCCTCACGAAATTCTTGCAGGCTGGTTTGTTGGTTGGTTGGTCGGCGAGTTGGTTGGTTGGTTGGTTCCTTGCACGATTGGCTGCTTGACTGGTTGGTTGATTGCTTGGTCGGTTGGCTGGCCGGTTGGTTGATTGGTTGATTGGTTTGTTGTTTTGGTGGTCGGTTGGTTCGTTGATTGGCCAGCGGCTTGGTCGGTTGGTTCGTTGATTGACCAGTGGACTAAGTGATTGATTGGTTTGCTGGTTGGTTGGATGGTTAGTTGTTTGGTTGGTTGGTTGATCGACTCGTTGCCTGGCTGCTATACAAAGAACGCTGCACGTCACGTGGCAACGCAGGAACGGAACACATACGATTCCATCACATTTGTCATGCGGCAAAGCCGGCTTGCAGAACAAGTTCTATCCCATTGCCCGCAGCGGGGAAACCCACGGGTGGCTAACACAATATTTTTTTACGGGGTGGCGAACCGCAGATTACAGTCTAGTGTTCACGAACCAGCGTCGATGGGCAGAACACGCCCAGAATGGCCTCCAGAAGTTTGCAGGCATGTTTTCGGGAGGGCCCCATCGACAGATTGTCTGCCCAAAAGGTGTCTATTCTAATGATGGCCTTCGGCCAGTGCCGCAGATCCAGGGTTCTCTAGATGTGTCCCTTGCCGTTTCCCCCCTTTCCCCTCCCCCCTCCGATCTTCTGCGCTCCACTTTCCGTTCCGCCCATTCTCCCTCCTTGCCCCTCGTTCATTTTTCTTTTTTTCTCGTATTTTCTTCATTCCTGCTCTCCTCCGCCCCTTTGCACGTCCTTCCTCCCCCTCATCTTGCCGTTCTCCACAACCACCACCCAGCCCAACTACCACCAGTCTCCCCCCCCGTCCCAACACCACCACACACGCGCACGCACGCACGCATTCACACAGACATACAGGCACACAAGCACGCACGCACGCACGCACGCACGCACGCACGCACGCACGCACGCACGCACGCACGCACGCACGCACGCACGCACACACACACACACACACACACACGCACACGCACACGCACTCGCACTCGCACTCGCACTCGCACTCGCACTCGCACTCGCACTCGCACTCGCACTCGCACTCGCACTCGCACTCGCACTCGCACTCGCACTCGCACTCGCGCACGCACGCACCCGCCCACGCACGCACGCACGCACGCGCACGCACACAAACACACACACAGACACACAGACACACAGACACACTGACACACAGACACACACACACACACACACACACACCGAGGAATTAACCGCATCCCGATTCCCCCACTCCGCATCATCCCGCCCCATCCACCCAGCCCACCCAATTACGCACACATGCGCACACACATACACACACACACGCCTCCCACCGTTCCCAGCCTCTTCTCCTCCCCCCTTTCCCCTCCACCACCACAACTATACACAAAAGAACACATACACACGCGCACACACACAGACCAACCAGCCTTCATCGAACCCCAAGCGATGTGGTTCAACCTAAATGGTGCAAGTTGTGGAATGCACTCTATGTGATGCAATCTACGTGGGGCAGTCGACGTGGTGTGAGTTTCGTGGTGCAAGCTACGTGGTGCAATTAACAAATGCCCACCTTGTGAGTGCTCAACTCCACCTGCTCGTGCAATCATCCCACCCACCCAACCGCAACTTGGTTTGCACAACGCATGAGGTGGGAAGTTCGATTCCTGCTTGCCGCTTGCTGGCGCAGCGCTGCGGCCGCGATAGCGCGCGCAGGCTAGCCAGTCTCGCGCGACCGACCAGGCCGCGGTGGCGCTGACCGCGCTTGGCCGCGCGTCGCACAGGCCGCGCTGACGCGCTCGCACTTCAGAGCGAGTCGGTGTGTTGGGCGGGCGCCGTACCATGGCGACGCCGACAACGGCAGACACGATGATGATTGCAGCGGTGCTGGTGACGCCGACGTCGATGACGATGGCAAGGCACATGACAGCGCAGATCCTGTTCACGCCGACGACGATGTGGTGTCCACGCGTCGGTGATGAATTATTCGGAACTACTTCGACATGCGCGCTGCCGACGGGCACGAGTGGCCCGCATGGTATCATTCGCCCCCGGTCGTCCCCTCCCTTGGGCACGCGCGCAAGGGCGTTCGAATGATTTCGACGCGCGCGCGAGAGTCCCATTTGGTCGACGTTGGTGGACATCTCGCAAGCAATTCGGTTCTCTGTGGAAGTTGCGAGAGCACGCGGGCAGACCTTGTTTTGAAAGCTGATGTTGCAGATCAGTTCGCTGGTTTTCAGAATTTCTGTCTTCGGGATGGTCGATTTTGAATTCGCTACGAAGCTGAGGTTTTTGAAGGATTGTGGCATGCCCGCGCGATGACGCGCGCGCGTGCGTTTCGCCCATTGCTATTGATGATTTTGATTAGTGAGTGCGCTCGCACTGTATCGGTTGCAGGAGATGGTTGGGTTTGTCGAAGTCGGAGTGGCTGTGGTTTCCGCGCAGTCATGTTGAAAATGGGCGTTGGGGCATACTCATTGGTAAATTGTGCATCCCTTGGGGGGATCATCCCGGTGGGGGGGGGGATCCCCATTCTCTTGTAGAGGGAAGGCGTCCATTGAGGCGAAAGCTATATTGTGTGAACTACGTGGTGCAACCTACGTGGTGCAAGTCACTGTGACTGTCTTGCAGCTGTCCTCTCCACTGCTCATGCAGACATCCCACCCTCCCACCCGCGCCTTGGTCGCAAGACTTCTTAAGACAGTGACGGTGGGTACCAAGTGGCACTTGGCAACGATAGCGACGCCGACGACGGCAGCGACAATGACGACGATGACGACGCCGACGACGACGACGACGACGACGACGACGACGACTGCGACGACACCGACGACGTTCCGACGACATCTCCGACGACTTCGACGACGACGACAACGACGAAGACGACGAAGACGACGACGGCGACACCGACGACGACGACGACGACGACAACCACAACGCCGACGCCGACGACGACTCCGACGACGACGCCGACGACGACGACGACGGCGTTGACGACGACGACGACGACGCCGACGACGACGACGACGCCGACGACGACGACGAAGATGACGAGAACGACGACGACGACGTCGCCAACGAAGACAACGCCGACGACGAGGGAGGAGGGAGGAAGCCGACGGCGACAACGACGACAATGACGAGGGAGGAGGGAGGAGGCGACGAAGCGAACGACGAGGGAGGAGTGAGGACGGCGACTCCGACGGCGACAACGACGAGGGAGGAGGGAAGATGACGACGACGACGACGACGGCGACGAAATAGGAAGGACGACGATGAATCGCCGACGACGGCCGACGACGACGACGAGGGAGGAGGAAGGACGACCACGGCGACAACGACGACGGAGAAACGATGCGACGCCAAAGAGGACGACGACAACGACGACGACGACGAGGAAAGACATAGGACGACGACGGCGACGACGACGACGACAACGAGGGAGGAGGGAGGACGGCGACGACGACGACGACGCAAGGGCCCGCGCGCGCACGTTTTTGTTGAACATCAGTGTTGCGAAACCCTGTGTTTTTGTATGTTCCTTGGCAACTAGGTTTTGAAACTCTTCCTAAACCGAAGGTTTTTGAAGGATTCCAGCATGCGCGCGCCACGACGCGCGCATGCGCTTCGTCTCATTTTTTGCAGAGGTTCTCGCGACGGCACGCGCGCAAGGGCGTTCGAACGATTTCGACATGCGCGCGCGAAGCCCGGTTGTATGTTCTGGAAATCTTGAAACAAAAACCTATTGTTTTCGTACGATATCGGAAGAGCGCGCGTGTAAGTTGTTTTAGGAAATCCGTGTTGCGAAACCCTTTGTTTTTGTATGCGTTTTGGACACTAGATGTTGAAACCCTTCCGAAACCGAAGGTTTTTGAAGGATTTCGGCATGCGCGCGCGACGACTCGCGCGTGCGCATTTCGTCCCATTTGTGCAAGGGATTTTGGAAAACTTATGATGTTTGATAAACGGGTGTGCGCGCATTGTATTTTTTGCAGAGTGTGGCGGGGAGGGCGATACTGGCCTGGCTGAGATAGTACGAACTCATATTTAGGATGGATGATGTGGCAGAATCACATATAAAGCGCGATACGAAAAAGGGGATCGCTAACTCCGGGGGGTAGAGTCTATATTCTTTTTTTTTCAGAAAAGGAGAATTTATGTGGCGCTAGTCAGCGTGACGCGACGCAATGCAACGCAACACTACGCGATGGCAGCACAACGCGATGCTAGTGCAGTGCAGTGGCAGCGCGGTGTAGTGCAAGTCGATTGCAAAGCAATGCCATTGCAAATCAATGGAACGTGGGGGGTAACGGTTGTGGGACGACAGCGACGAGTACGACGACGGCGATGACGTTGACGACAACGAAAAACGACGACGATGACGTCGACGACGACGTGGCTGACGATGACGCGGACGAATACGACGGCATCGAACAATGTGTCAGGATGGGCCCCTGATGGGTCTTGGGACCGCTTGTGAGGCGGCGACTAGAGATGACAGCAGTTTGCCTTCGGTGGGCCCTTCGACGCCACGGTTGGGCGCAGGTCGGAAACTGATGCGTTTGGACCCTGGGGGGGGGGTCTGAAGGGTGTGGTCCTGGGGGGTGGTCCCCGAGGGTGGTCCCGGGGGGGATCCGGGGGGTAATGTGATTGTTTCTTCATTATATAGGGCCCCCATGCACTCCAACAGCTCCCCGCCCTGCCCTCTCTCCAACCCCAGGGTCGGCGGCACCAGCCGTAAGGCCTTCGCAACGACGGCATCGAACAATGTGTCAGGATGGGCCCTGCTGGGAGGGGTCCTGGGACCGCTTGTGAGGCGATTTAGGCCAGTCGGGAGATCCGCCGTTGTCTCAACAGAAGAGGGTGACTAGAGATGACAGCAGTTTGCCTTCGGTGGGCCCTTCCGACGCCACGGTTGGGCGCAGGTCGGAAAACTGATGCGTTTGGACCCATGCGGAGCGAAACCAGAGCCCTCATTCCCTGGAAAACGGTGAAATTTAGCGAGTTCAAGCCAATGCTCTTTAAACTCACACGCGGGATCGGTGGACTTCAGGGGCTTATGTTCTTCTGCAGGAGGGTGGCCTTTTGTCGCTGACCCGGCCTATCCGCAGCCGCCCGCCACCCCAGTGCCTTGCGTCGCCGACAAGTCCTGCTTGTTTGGCCTAGTTCCTCGACTTGCCCCTTCGTGCTCTTGTCGCTGCTCCTTCCCTCCCCGCTCGGGGTGCCATTGCCCCTGAGCGTGGCGGAGTGGGAGACGTGGCAAACCATTTCGGGCGCTGGCGCTGGGGGCGGCGCTGGCCAGTGAATACCGCTGCAGAGGTGCAGCGGTAGCCGCCTGAGACATTCTGGTGCCAGACGGGCAGGGACATTTAGACAGTGTTATATCCCGTTCCCGTTGTCCGAGTTGTCTCCGACCCTTGCTCGACCCACGGCGACGACGGCGGCGGCGGCCATGATGTGCAGGACTTCGTCGACGAGCCGGAGCATGCCTCGCTGCTGGGCGGCGCATCCGCGTTGGTCCTCTCATCTCTGCCCTTTTCTCCTACTGCTCTTCCCACTCAATTCTTCTCCACCCAGCTTCCTCCTCCTCCTCGATCTCCTCCTTCTGGATGAGGAGGAGGATGAGGAAAAAAAACAGGAAGAGGAGGACCAGCATGAGCAGGATAATGAGGAGGCGGGAGGGGGATCTGGATCATGAGGATTGAATGAAGGTGGGGCAAGAGGAGGAGGAGGAGGAGGAGGAGGAGGAGGAAGAGGAGGAGCAGGAGGAGGAGGGAAGTGGGAGGGGTGGAAGAGGAAACACCCTAAACCACCTACGCCCAGAGGGCTGGTGGAATTTGGGGCCCAAGCAGCAATGTGAACACGATCGGGGCCCCCGACCTCAATCTTGGGTGCGCCAGTTTTCTAGCCAGGTCGATCCGTGAGTGTCCCAGGACCAGAACCAGGGCGAGATGGCTTGCGAGATGTTGTCATGCTGCCCAGATATCAGGGCGTCAGACCACTCCTCAGATATTTTGCAATTTATGTTTCAATGCGTTGACGGTCCTCTCGACCCCGGCAAGTGTTCTTCATCTTGAGCAGGTGTTGGACGGCCCCGAGGCTAGAAATTGGCCGCTGACAACGAATTCGGACAAACCAGACGCCCTTTTCCGCTGCGCCAACTGTATGGGCCTCAGGGAGTCAGTTATCTTCTATTTTTCCTTTTTGTCAGGTGTCCCTCTACCCAGACGAGGCGACCGACTTCACGCTTTTCTTCAGCGCCTCTCGCGGCATGCGGACGGCCGTCATCCCGTGCAACGAGTGCGCGCAGTATTTCCCGAAGCACGACCCGACCTACGAGGCGGGAGGGTTGAGAGATCCTGACACCTCCCGACATCCTCGGGTCGTGTTAAGGGCATTACTGATGTTTGGTTGTCTGTTGTTTTATTAAGACAGCGGAACAATATTCAGCAACCTCAGGCCGTCTCTTGAGGAGGTTTCCACACCTCTGGGGAGCCATGTTGTCAAAACAATCGGGGCGTGCGATGTGTGGGTCCAGGCGTTGCTTTGGGGGGGGGTAGAGTAGGCAGTGTGTGTGTGTGTGTGTGCTTGCCCCGTTTCTGGCCCAGGGTCCCAACCGCATCTGCCTGGAGCGGGGTGACGGATACACCGATCACCGGCACGGCCGTTACGGTTGGGTTTCTTGTTTTGTTTCCAGGTCAACATTGCATTGCGCGGCTCAGTTATTTGTTGCTGAGTGCGGAGACAGATGTGTGGGGTGGGGACATCATGAGGTGGAGGAGGAGGGGGAGGAGGACCAGTGTAAATTCAAGACACCTCAACGATGTTACAAGACGCCTTTTCTTCAAACTCCCTCAGCATAGGTCCGTACAAGAATTGTCCGTCATTGTGGCAAGTGCCCCATCGTAATACAACCGCTTGAGAATCCATGCTCGTGGCCAAACCACATTCCTGATACTGGAACGCTGCGAATCAACGTGACTGTTGAGTCCCGACAGCCAAAAATTATGCCAGAACGCCTTGTCTGTGACTGCAGCAATACGATGTCTTGAACATGCTGCAACTTTAAGTCGAATGGGGTCGGCACGTTGACGAGAGCAACATTTTGAAAAGGACTCGCCCTCCATTTATGAAACGGTTAGAAACTTCCAAAACGAATGTGCACAACTCCAAGGCGAGAACCACATTTTGAACACGGACCGCCATTCATCCTTGAAGCCGTCGCAGTTGTTTGAGACGAATGCGCGTGCGGTAAGGCGGGAACAACATTTTGAAGTCGAACCGCCCTGCATCTTTGAAGTTGTTGTATATGTCAAGCTCCAGGATCATGAAGGGTGAGGAAGTCTCAGGCGAAACTCCCGGCCCGCCCTATCGACACGTCGGGGGTGTCGTCAGGGATGAGTTGTTCCTGAGGAAAGGGATGCAAAGGGATGGCGGAGGAGGAACGCTTCCCTTAGAGGGGAATTCGATGCGTTGGGCTGTCTTGGGTCTTCAAGGATCATTCCCCCAGTCGTAGCTCCGCGCAAGACGGACTCAGTCGAGAGCCCATTCCCGGCGCAAGTTGGTGACCCTCGTGCGTCCATGCAAGGCCCGTAGAAGAGGGCGAGGAGGAGGAGCAGGACAGGAGGAGGCACGAGCGCGTCCCTACGCTTGCGGGAGGAGGAGGATCAGGAGGAGGCGGTGGAGGTGGAGGACACGAGAACGAGGATGAGGAGGAGGCCGAAGAGGATGGATAGGATGATCGTGGGAGGGGGAGGAGTAGGGAACTTGTGGAGGGGACAGGAAGAAGAGGAAGTTAACATGATGAGGGAACGGAGGCCCGTGGGAGGAGGAGGGGAAGCGCATGACATGCAGGAGGCGGTTTCACGTTGTCCATGCGGCTTGGCTCCCAGCTAGGAGGCGTTCATTTTCCTCCGCCTTCTGCTTCCTTCCTGTTGTCCGTCCCCTCTGTCGCACCACCACACCACCTGGAGGAACGGCAGAAGGGGTCTCAGGGCGGTGCTGAAGTTGATAGATACTTTCCAGCATTGGTGTGGCTCATTTGTGTAACCTCGGTATTCTGCAAGTCTGCGAATGCATTCCATGATGGTGGTGGGGTTCGCGTCTCATTCTGCCGAATCGCCCTTCCCCCTGCTCCTCGTCTTGGGGCAAAGTGCCCTGAGCTGAATCCCTTCCCCCCCCCCTCTGCCCCACCACCTTCTCGCCTGGAGGGCTTCGTGAACTTCCTGCTGGAGCGGGACATGCACCAGGTGAGCTGCCTCGGTGGGCAGCGCGCCGCACTCAGGAGAGATTGGCTGAGCGGCTCGCCCTTCTGCCAGGCCTGGAGGGGGGTGGGGCAGGTCTTCGACGTCGTTATATGTTTTGTCACGCCCTCGCGCCGGCAGCGCTTTCCACAGTCACAAAGACCGGGGGCTCCTGAGGGGAATTGGTCCTGGAGGTTTGTTGCCGTTCTCAACCTCCAGGCCCAGGCCCTGAAACCGTCGAGACGCGGCTCGGGATGAAGAACTGGTCTTGGGGGAGCTCTTGTGGTCCGGAATCCGTTTCCAGCAGTACTTCTTCCTTTCGTGCCAACAGACTTCCGATGTCGTGGTTTTTACATCTACATCTGGAAGGCCTTAATCCTGTAGAATGTGGATGCGGTAATTATTCGCATGTACGCCATGACTGCTCTTGCCCCTGACGTGCTGTCGTCCACACAGGGCTGATCATGTTCTGCCCATCGTTGTCTGTTTGACCCAAGAGTCATCGTTGCAGTGCGTCCTTAATGTTCTGCCTGACTGTATCTAGTTTTACCAGTTGGGGGGGACTCAAGTGGGTTCTGGAGAATGGCGTCATGGTGTCCAAGGGGTTCGTGGGAGGAGGGGGAGGAGGAGGAGGAGGAGGAGGAGGAGGAGGAGGAAGCGGAGGAGGGCTCGACTCGGATCCAGAACGTCGTGACTCCCCCTGCAGCAGTTTGCACAATCGCATCGTAGTTCCCTTGATCACGGGACAGATCACGTGCAACAGTTTGCTAGCATGTTGCATCTCTCGACCTGTTGTGGTAAGCTACCCCTCGCTCGCAAATCAAGCTTGGCTGGCGCGCAAATCGTGCGCCCTGACACTGCTGGCATATCCTGTCCTTTACGCAGCAGGCTCTGGGGCCAGCGATCACTCGTGCCCATCCTGTGCTTCTTCAGCGCTAGGATGTGATGGAGAATTGATAACCGAAAGCCACGAGCCAAGGCGCATGTTCTAAAACTTGTCCGTTGCCACTTTCTGGACATCTGTTGCCTTCAATGGTAGGCCGTTCAGGAGTCGCTAGTGAGGCAGCCTTCAAGCACAGAGCCGCCATCCGAGTAGGCATCCATGTAGAAATGGCCCGTCGGTGATATCATGACTACGACAATGCCATCGTCGCCCAATCGCATCGAGGCCTCACCATAAACAGCATCCTTGGCCCGCTCCACCAGTCTGTCTTTAACCACTGGGGCGAGTCCGCAACGCCTTCTCGAAGCCTTTCCTCCACCATGTCGCATATGAGTTCGAGGCTGACGATGCTGACTCGCTGTGGCGAGCTCTCTCTTTGATCTGCGCTGCAGTCCCGTTCTGCGCGGCGTCAGTCATCGCGAAGGCTTCGTCATCCATGCTGTGTTTGGAGCGGGCTCTTCCCAAACTTGCACTTCTTTAGTGACCGTGAACGTGTTCAACAAGATCGTGACCTGGCTCACGAGGATGTTGAACGGAAGTTGGGGCTTGAACAGGCTCAGCCTGTGCCCGAGTGGGTTCACCTGTGACTCGAACGGGTTCATGTAACTATCGGGCGGGTTGCCCAGGAAGTTGAACGTGCTGGAACTCGAACGGGTTTGTACGCGTGAACGGGTTCATTTGAAGCCTGGACGGGTCCATGTGAAATCTGAATGGGTGCAGTTGGGATCTTGAGCGGTCTCAGCTTGATCGTGCATAATTTCATCAATTTGAGCGCGTTCAAAAGGTGCTTGAACCAGTTCTGTTGGGAATTTGTTTTCTTCGTGCCACCCCTCTTCTGCAGTAGTGCAGTCCATGTCGTCTCCCTGGGTAACGCCCTTGTCGACCAGCGGCACCTGCCCTCGTCGACCAGCGTCACCTGGTGGACTTGCTCCTCGCCCATGCCGTTCGAGACGTCCAGTGGCAGAGCCCTGGTGGCGACAGCATCGGTGGCAGGGTTTTGGCCAACACCTCATCAAGGATGTGCATGCCTGGGGGCTGCGGTCTGCGCGGTGCTGATCACCGGAGGCGGCGAGCGCATCTCGTCGACGTCGTGGCGCTTGCCTCGAGGGCGGCGCGTTGTCCCGTGGTGCCCCCATCATTGCAAGGTCCATGATGTGTTGAGCCCGCCGCTTGTGCTACCAGCGGCGGGGTTCGCCTCTTCCCTTCCCCTAATTTCCCTTTAATGTTTCCCGATAATTGTCTTCTAATTGTATCATTGCCCCTCTAATTGTCTTGCATTCCCGATAATTTTCTTGTATTTCCGATCATCGGCCATATGGTATACACCATACACGCGACGCAAACGCATGGTATCAAGGAGGAAGCAGGAATGAGGAGGCCTCAGACCCTCCTTCACCAGTAACATGCCCACCCTCATCCCTGCCCCCTCCTCGCCTTCCCCCTTCCTTCCTCATCGTCCTCTTCACTGCTATTCTACTCGAGATGGCTAAGCGGCGGACTTCCCGACACCTCGGGGAGCCTCCCTGCAGGCCTCTGGAGGCCTTCGAGAGGCGCTTCTCCTCCCCCTGCTGGTCTTCGTGCCGCTTCCTCTTCCCACCTTTCCTCCTTTTTCCTCCTTGGCATTGCTCGGGCGTGTGCGTTTTTTCCTCTGCGAGGACCATCGAGGAGCATCCTGGACCACGTAGCAAACCAAACACGCGCGAAACCGACACATGCACGGGGAATGGACGGCCGAGCGATAGCAAGCCTCCTGCCCGCGCTGGGCGATAGCAAGCCTCCTGCCGCGAGGGCTGGGCACGGGAATTATCGTCCAGGCACTAGAGGGAAAAAATCCCCGGGAGGTCCCGGGAGGTGAGGCCCCGGGAGGTGGGGGCCTTCCCGCTAATTCGTCCCTGTGTTTTTACAGGGTTTCATTCTCGGGAAATTATCGGGAAGGGTCCCCGGGAGGTGGGGCCCCGGGAGGTGCCCGGGAGGTCCGTTCATTTCGGACGGTAATCCCCGAACCCCTCGACGGTAATCCCCAGCAATGAAAATCATGTGGGGCGAGGGGTTGTGGAGTTCGGGTTGCTCTCTTGCAGTTGCGCCTCGCCGAGAGCCTTCAAAGCCTCCTTCTCCTCCTCCTCCTCCTCCTCCTCCTCCTCCTCCTCCCCCTCCTCCCTCTCGGTGACGTGGTGACGGCCCTCCCTCCTCTCCTCACCCTCCTGCTGCCCCTCTTCCTCCCCCTCTTGCTGCTCCCCTCCTGCTGCTCCCCTCATTGTTCGGCTCCTTTTCCCCACTTGTTCCCTCCGTCGCTTCCTGGTCGTCGTCCCCTCTCGTCGTCTTCCCCTCACCTGCATCCTTCCTCCGCATCTCGCTCTTTCGACTCGTTCGATGTGTCGTGCCATCATACCGTCACCATAGCATCATAGTGTACGTCTTATGCTCATATCATGTTCTACGTGCGATTTTGTAGGCCACCCATGTAAGACCGAGTATGGCTGACGCCCATAAGCATTCATTGGAACAGGGGAACTAGCGGAAATTAGCGGGAACGGTTAGAGGGGAACCAGGGGAATTAGCGGGAACCAGGGGGATTAGCGGGAATTAATTTCCAGGAAATTGTTGGGATTATCGACAAGAGGAATAGGCGGAACAGCTGTGGTAGCACAAGCGGCGGGCCCAAATGATGTGCGGGCCATACCTTCGGTGCACGCGCAGGACAGAAGCTACGCACATGGAGAGGTCTGATGGCCTCCTGGGGCCACGTGGCCGTCAACAGGTCAGTGCTTGCCCTCGCCTAGGCTAGGAGGAGAAGGGTGTCGTTCAGCTTTTGTGCGTTACCTTCGCTCCACGAGCTTGTGCAGATTCCAACCACAGTCATCGGAAGCACAACCAGCAGTTTTGGGGGGCGTCAAGCAGCGCGAAGTAAATGAAGGAGGGCGAAGATGAGCAGGGGGGGAATTGGGAAGAGAGGAATTCCCACCCCGAGGCCCCCCTGGTGTGTTCTGCGTCAGCTCTTGAAACCGGAAAGATGGGGGAATGTGCAATTGCTGCGTTTGACCTTTTGCGTTAGTTTCGAATCGGGAGTTGTTCAGTTTGCGTTATAGCTGCGATTCGAGAGCCAGTCAGGTGTGCAGCCATTCAACACCGACTGGTCGAGGTGGTGCGGAGTTGTGCCGACTACCCAGACCTCATAGTTATTGAAGCGTTTCGCTCATTCCCCCAGCCCAGACCATTCCATCGTGGGAGTTTGTTCGCATGTTCGCTGCCACCGCGGCGCTGATGGGTGGTGGTAGTTGCGCCGACCACCCAGACCACCGCATAGCTACTTTAGATTCCAGTGCAGTTTGCTGCTCTGAGCAGGTCACGTCCCTGCGTGATCCTTGTAGGCACCCCGGAGCGGACGGGTGGGCAGAGTGTTTTTGAAGGAGTGGTGTATCACGTATTGGTTTCCCGGAGTTTCGAGAGGATGAAGAGGATAGTTCATGATGATGAGGCGGATGAGGAGGAGTTACGGGGAGGAGGTGGCGGATAGCGTCGAAGACAGAGAGTGAGGAGGAGGAGGAGGAGGCGGAGGATTGAGAGCATGATGTAGACGATGATCACCATGATGATGATGATGATGATGACGATGATGATGCTGATAATGATGGGGATGATTATGATGGTTTATGGCCATGGTGATGAGGATGATGCTTTTGAATATGAATATGCTTATGATGATGATTGTGGTGATGATGGTGGTGATGGTGATGATGCTGGCGACGACGATGGCGACGACGATGGTGATGATGCTGCTGCTGATGATGATTATGATTATGACTACGATGGTGATGAAGAGTACGATGATGGTTATGATAATGCTGATGATGATGACTATGGTTGGGGCGTAGGCTCTGGAGTGGAGTCAGGGCGGGCCCGGCAACCTTCTTCGCCCCGACCTCCCTCACCCCCACCTCGCCCAAGCTCCACGTCCACGTCCACGCTCACCCTCTCCTCCTCCTCCTCGTCATCATCACCATCCTCCTCCTCCTCCTCCTCCTCCTCATCATCATCATCATCATCCTCATCATCCTCATCACCCTCCTACTCCTACTCTTCCTCCTTCCTCCTTCGCCGCCCCCCTTTTGCTCGCTGGTGCCCTCTGCTGCTG